GGGGGGGGTTCTACCACCATCCCCACTAAGGCTGGGATTCACTTGACGGCCTATTGTCACACCATCTCGTAAAGTACCTCGGTACTGGCCGAATCCAGACAGGTCGTGACAGTATCTTCTGCCAGCTACCTGCTATTGTACTTTGGAATCACAGACTTGAGGGCGCGAGTAGCACTCGGATGCCCCCCTGCTTTCTTCAGACCTTTGACGTCTTCTGACAAAGGGCCTGGAATAGGTGCTTACAAATCTTGATTAAGGACGAAATTTTCAGGAAATCAGACGTCTTCAGTGCACCTCTGCTTAGTAGAAGCTTGAACATGGCGAAGCAGGGTTTTGCGTGGCATACTGCGTCAAGAAGTGTTTTGCCTGTGCCCGTCTTGGCGTCAATGTCTGCTCCGGCCTTCAGCAATGCCTCAGTGACTTCCAGGGCTCCAATCTGCACAGACATATATAGAGGCGTGCCAATTCTTGACAAAGGTTGATTCAAGTCTGCGCCGTTCAGAACTAGTGTCTCGATCAGAATGCTTAGCGAACTGTCATACTCCGGGCTCGAAACGAATCTGAATGCATATGGGTATGGAGCGAATGTGTATCGAGCCATACAAGCGTGCAAAAACGGGCTTGTCTTGGGAACGTCGACTCCTGTTTCAATGAGTTGTACAGCAATATCATACCAACCAAGCACGCAAGCGCTTTCAAGAAGGGACATCCGGTCCTTCCCAGTCATCTCCTTGTAATCCTCGTGCGACTGAACTCGAACTTTAATATCAGCACCTTTCTTGAGAAGAAACCAGAAGCAAGCCCATTTTCTGCCGAAGAAAGCGTACACCAATGCCGTGTGACCCAATCTGTCTTGCTGGTTGACATCGAATCCAGGGAATTGATTAAGGATGGTCTTCAAAACACTGAGTAGCCCATATTGGGCCGCAAGATGCAAAGGTGGCTTCCCCGTGATCCCTCCATCCGCGGACGGATTGAGCGAAGCGCCTCGGAGTAGAAGCAAGTTTGCTGTAGACTCTCTGCCTAGGTGTAGTGCTGTCTGTAATGGCGAGGTCAAGCAATTGTTTGCCGCCCAGCTGATACTCCATGCTCCATCGTCCGGATGACAGTCGCAGTATGCATTGCAAATAGCGTCAATTTGGGCACCATGCCTTATAAGAAGATCAACAAGGTCGTGCGATCCATTCATAGAAGCAAGGTGTAACGGAGTCCACGTAAAAAGGCCGTAGGGGGCGAATGAAAGTCCGCTTAAGCCGCAGCGCCATACATCCAGGTGGGCCCGTGCAAACCGATCTTCGAGGCTGCTGTCGGGCTGGCTTGGAAATAGCAATTCGTTGCGATACAAATTGGACCAGCTGTGGATCGTGAAATTCGGATGTACTTGCATCGAGAGGACTCTCTGAGCCACAGAGATATTCCCGGACGTAACGGCCCAGCAAAGAAGTCGTTGCAGGTCTTCTCCTCTTAGTTGATCCCATAGTAGCCCTCCGAAAAAAACGTTGAAGCTACGGCAGACAGCTGCCAGCCTTGCCCAGTCACCACACTTGTCAAGACAGTTGGCGATCTCGAGAACCAGTTCGGTGGGTAGGTGCGTGAAATTCGCCATGGTGCTGGTCGGTGGATGTGTTGTTTCGCAAAGTGATGAAATGGGTGACTGTATGGGATGGAACAGGTGACTGAATGGGATGAAATGGGTGATAGAATGGGATGAATCAGGTGACCGAAGTCGCAAAGTTTGCTTGTCAATGAACACCAAGTCCAGGTTGAGCTGTTGGCTTGCCAGAAGTGACAGTCAGGCGGATGTGTGATCAGCCTGGTGGGTGTGAAGAAATGGGAAGAAAGAAGAAAATCAAACTGTCGCCGACCGCAGCGTGATTTCATAGAGTGCGTTCTTCTGAGACGAGGTGAATTTTGTAAGGACCAGAACAATCAAGCGAGTAAGTGCTGCACGTAGTGAATGCAATTTGGCCCATTGTTTTTAGTGAATTCGCAAGCTGAATCTGGTTGTCCAGGGTGAACAGTGGTTTAGTTGGTTGATTTTCTTCGTCGATTGTTCACCCAGTGACGACAAAGCTGATCTTAAACTTGTCGTCATTTTTGTAGAGTGGTATACAATCAACCTCAGAATTTTTAAGTGCAACCCCCCGATTTTGAACGAGGCAATACTGCAGACCTCGCGATGAGTGGCGTCGAGCGTTAGTATTGCACATAACGAAACGACCTTATGCAAGCTTGGTTGACTGACGGACACTGATACTCCCAATAACACGGTGATCTTTTGCCAAGTGTATACTATACGATACTATCTTCATATCTCATTCTTAACATATTGGCAGCGTGTTAAACAAGTGACTTTGATTTAGGGGATTCAGTAGCTTTGAGATACATAATAGCTTAATATAACAGTGTTGTATAGGTATCCAACAAAAGCATTAGAAACTCAACGAGGCGTTCAAAATTAATATGGGAACCCGGTCCCTAACATGCTTACATGTTTTTGTTCTTCGCATCCTAAAGAATCAAATGAAGATACTGCTCCTTCGGGGCTTCTTTAACTGAGCTGCAAATGATGTTCTAGATACTTTCAAGCTGAACATCGACGCACACAACTGAGGATGAAGAGATGGAGCACTTGTTTCAAAACTGAGAAACACGTTACGATCCATTGTTATACAAAAAGTGCCTTGCTAGCAATAATAATAACAGGTTTCCTACGCGGTAGACATGGCTTGCGGTCATATAATGGCCCATCTTTTCCCAAACCATGACAGTCAAACTGGAATGAAAAAGAAACAAACAAACACCTTAGGCAGATTTCACCACATCAAACCGATCCGTAGAGACAGTGTGATTGTCGCTACAAACTGTTCGTTGGTGCAGACGCTTCCCATTGCAAACATGAATTTCTGCCTGCGAAACATGACCTACAATGGCAGCATCACAACCAAGGGTATCCAGCAAAATATCTTGGGAACAAGGCGGTAGGGTATCATAATGTCAAAGGTGGTATTGAGTGCCTATGCCAATATCCGAACACAAAAGTACAAATGCCGCCTACACTAGCTTGCTTGCATTGACCAAACCTTCCGGGGGTGGGGGGAGACCACCCGCTCCTACGAGCATCCCACCCATTGAACACTGAACATTGCCGTGCGAACAATCATCTCCTCAACCAGTGACCGGGATGATCGTGTGCAGCCCCGGACCAAAACGTCCTGGCAGTATATTCCCGCATCAGGACATGAGGATCGCCATCCGTCTAAACACCATTCCTGTTCTAATCCCTTTGCCGCGCTGAAGCCGCTGATGGAGGCTGTGCAAGAAAGAAAAACGAACCCCGATAACCAACTCCGTCCATGACAAAATATAAAAATAGGGGACGACGCTGCTTCTTTTGACCTCGAGACGCCGTGATGATGCATCAATGCTTATGGATGTTCGTGTATTCCCGCACGTTGCGGGTATCATTAGGGGCGTCAGAAAAATTTCGACATGGCAGTGCTCAAGTCGATGAAATCAACGGGCTTGGTGACATAGTCACTGAAACCTGCTTGTACACATTTCTCCTGAACGTCTGACATGACGTTCGCCGATAAGGCTATGATCGGCAGTGGCCGGTAGTGATTCGCTTCCTCCCATTCTCGGATTTCCCGACATGCTTGGTAACCATCCTTGCGAGGCATGTGAAGATCACACTGTCTTTTGATTAGCATTATATGTATCGTCAAGGGCAGTGAATGAAGCTACGTACCAGGATAAGTGAGTAAAAGCCAGGTGGGTGCGAGAAGACCGCCTCAGTGCACTCCACACCGTCTGCGGCGATCTCTGCAACAATGCCGACCTTCTTCAGGTATCTGATCAGGACTTTCTGGTTAACTGGGTTATCCTCAACCAGCAGGACCTTATAGCCCTTATTGCCAATTCGCTTCTCAACATCAATGTAGTTCTGCTTTTGAGACTCTACCATCATTGCAGCGCTGGATCGATTTTGGTCTATACTCAAATCTCCAGACTTCGCAGGATCGAATACAGCAGCAAACCGCGAAGGCTTCACTGGCTTGTAGATGAACGTGACTCTGTTCTCAGAGAGCAGCTTTTGGTGTTCGCTATCTGAGGCGAGCTTGAGGACAGATTGGCGCTGGACTGAGTCGGAAAGAACGAGAACAGAAGTCTTCAGGCCCGAGGATGACATGACTTGGTCGATCATGTCAATGATTTCCTCGGCTGAGCCTAGATTGAGAACGACATGGGTAAAAGTGACGGATTCATCACCCCCTATCAGCTTTTGTGCTTCTTGAACCGTTGCCAGCGCAGTAATCTGATGAGGAACATCCTTGGGCAGTGTTATCTCGATGTGTTTCGTCGTGGCCTCCCTGCTGAAAGTTTGGGGACATATGATGAGGATCGAATACATTGGAGGTCTGAATTGGTGGAGATCTCCAGCAAATTTCGTAGCACCTGGCGTTGGAATGTCCCTTGTTGAAAGGCCCGCAGGCGGCATTTCAAGTCTGATCTGCGAAAGGTCTTGCCCACTTGCCTTTGCAGCTTCGCTGAAGTGGACGAGACCAACGTTTACAGACGAAACCGAAGATCGAGCCGTATTCTGTGACCGAACCGAGCGAACTGATGGATCAGAGCTCGCTGACGAAGTTAGGGTTGGTGATATCACGCCGACGTCTGAAGCGGGGCTGCCACTCTGGTTAGGCAACTCGGAGACCTTTTGCGAAAAGTCCGGACGGAGAGTCGATGTCGAGGTCTCTCCCGAAGATGATGGCCTCAGAGGAGCTGTTGCTGGAGTGCCAGGAATCTTAGGACGATCGTTTGCAGTGGGTAATCCAAATCTGGCGGTGAAAGTAAATGTCGAGCCCTTCCCAGGCACGGCAGTGCCGTCCATCTTCCCACCGTGAAGTTCAACTAGTTGCCTCGATATCACAAGACCCAACCCACTACCGCCGTGTTGTCGAGTACTACTTCCATCAATTTGGCTGAAGGGTTTGAAGATGAGATCCGCCTCCTCCTTCGTAAACCCCCGTCCAGTATCGATAATAGAGAATTCTAGCATAATCCCTGGCTGGTCTTGACCTCTGCTTCGGTCGCCAACAACCTTGCAACGGCTGAATACTTCACCTTGAGCAGTGAACTTAATGGCGTTGCCTATAACATTGAGCAGCACCTGGCGGATGCGGACCTTGTCGCCTTTAACCCAGGAAGGCACATCTTCCTCCACAACATAGTTGAGCTCCAGGCGTTTGGCAATGGCCATTGTCGAGACCAATTCGTTGACATCCTCGATGAGTGATCGTGTATGGAACCATTCAAAATTTAACTTCATCATCCCAGCGTCGACCTTCGAGAGGTCGAGGATGTCATTGATGATCATAAGTAAACTGTTCGCGCTTGTCTGAATGGTATTGGTGTAATCCCTTTGTTCTTCATTGAGAGTTGTGTCCTGCAGAAAGCTGACCATGCCGGATATTCCGATCAGTGGCGTCCGAATCTCGTGCGACATATTACTCAGGAACCTCGACTTGGATTCCATGGCTTCCTTAAGCTTGGTTTCTAGTAATTTGTGGTCGTTGATATCGGTAGCGGATCCAAAGTAGGAACTTTCGCCAGTTCCAAAATTGATGTTGTTGATCTCAACGCATCTGATTAGATGCCAACGATATTCACCGCTTTTGGACCTCAGCCGAAGTTCCGTGGTGTAGGAGAGGCGCCCTGTGCTGTCAGTCGCCACTTTGATGATGCCTTGCTTGGCTAATTCGCCCAGATCTGCAGTGGGTATATCGTAGTTTGAGCTACCGCTTGAACTGGGGTGTCGAGATAGTGGGCCTCTCGGGGTGTTCAGGGATGTGCTGCCGACTTTGGACGAGGTCGTTGTGGAAGCGTTCTTAGAGTCAACATTTGCCGTCGTCGTCTCGGAGGAGTTTCGCGTTGATCTGTCCAATGGTATCCTACACTTCGCCAGATCATCGGGGTGAACAAAGCCCATGAACCCAACGCCGAGAGAGTCTTCGAAACTTTGCCCCGTGTAGGAGAGCCACTGCTCGTTGGCGAATGTTATACCATCTTCTTCAGTAGCAGCGAAAATGATCTGAGGGATAAGGTTGGCCAGTAAGCGGTGCTTCGCCTCGGACGCTTCCACCTCCTCTTGGCGAGCTGCTACCAGCTCGGCAATCTTCTGGTCGTGAATGTCCATATAGGAGCCAATAAACTGGACAATCACGCCCCGCTTGTCCTTCGAAGCGATTGCACGTGCCTGGTGCCAACGGTAGGCGCCATCAAAACGCCGCAATCGGACTGAGTACGCAAACTGTTCACCCGTACGGAGTGAATGCGTCCATTTTTGGATGTAGCTCTCGCGGTCCTCGGGGTGCACACTGCCCCAGGGATCTACAATGAGGTCTGCGACGGTCTGACCCCTGTAGGATAGGTATCTACTGTTAACCCATACTATTTCGCCTGTACTAGGCAGAGCAACGAAAACATGAGCCGGCAGGGAATCTAACATCAGGCCCTTTAGCCTGTCAGACGGAGGCAACATGCTGACTTTGTCGTCACGCCCCGGTAGACCTGATGACTGATTCACATATGTCCCAGAAGGTAGTGACTGAAAGGTAGTTGCAAAATCGGCACCATACGAATGAAGCATGGTATGCTTATGGCCATCATGGTGGGCTGTACTAGGCCTGGTGACCATCTTGCGCGGCTCCTCAGGAGGTCGGTGGGACCTTGCATCAGGTGCTTTGTCTTGCATAATGGCTTCTTTGGCGACGACTCGCTTTCGGGAGGATGAAGTGGGGGGTCTGTCATCATGAGAAGGCTCAGCCTCCCCTGGCGTGAAGCTCAGCGCATCCTCGAAATTCGCCGAGGACACGCCCGTCCTGAAGGCCTGTCCGCTAACGGACCGCCTGTGAGCCCGCTCGATGGTGTTAGCAACTTCCTTTGGGCCCTGGGTCGGTCGATGACCAGGAGTCCGCGGTGCTACGTCTGTAGCTCCACCAAGTGGCTTTGCCGTGGACGCGAAGTAGCCATCGCCACCCATCTGGCCAGGACTTGTGCCCGTCGTACGCCTCTCTACCACTAGGCCAAAGGAACCAGGGTCCCAACCAGCAGCATCGCCAGGCGAACCGGCATTACTCCTCGATGGGCCTGAATAATCGCTAGGGCTCGTGATACTCCCAGAAATCGAGTTATGTGAGGGGTCATTGGATGCTGCGTAATTCAGTTGAGAAAATAATACGGGGTCAGCAAGTGGTCTTCCATCTGGACCCAGAGCGCCGAAACCCGCTGTCGAGGGCCGTTTGCGGTGGAGACCGGCGACCTCAGTTTCCAAGTTGGTGTAATGCCTGCAAAGGGAAAATGACGTCGCCAAGTGAGGAGCCAAATGCTCCAGGGAGTGACGTAAGTTGGAAGGGTACGGTATGATAGGGCTCAAGATCGACAGAATCGCAATCGGACTTTGGTGACTGTCTCTATACGAGTCTGAAGACGAGGGACGCTCAGCTGCGTTGAGTCCTGACTTGGTATCCATACGTCCTCTAGCAGTCCGTTGCTCTAAAGCAGACGAATTCAGCTTGAAAGATGCGGCCGACTTCGATAGTAGAATATGCTTCAAGGGGATGTGCAGTACTGTCCAAGAATTATCCACTCCTATGGTCTCAGGTGGCTGGATATTGGTGTAGTCGTGGGGGCTCGGTCCTGGATTAAAAGAGTCCTCATCGACCATGGCATCTGTGAAAAACGGGTTTTCTGATGGATCTGCCCGGACAGCAGGAGAGGGAGCTGGTGACTGAGACCAGGGAGAGGGCGGGGCTTGTTCGTACTCCTCATATCGCGGTGTCGGAGGACGGGGTTCCTCATCGTCGAGTACAGAAAGGAGGTCTGCTATGTTGGACCTATCCCCGGTGAGGTGCTTCATGCCCCTACCCGAGGGCTTCTGCCCGGTGACATTGCCAAGTAGAGATGAGAGTTTGGCACCTGGTTCTGTTCTCACAGGTTTCTTTGACTTCTTCTTTGACTTCTCTTCAACGCCTTGGTCTAGGTAAGGGTAGTTGCGAGTCAGAGCGATAACCTTACTTCGCTCAATGACACGCTTGACACCATTGTGGTCGATGAGAGGGTCTGCCTCAAGGTCTAACCCTTGCAAGACGGGAAGAACTCGACCCCTAACCTCAGCCCTTGGCGGAAGAGGAGCCTCCCAACTTGGAATTGGCTGTTGCTCTTCCACGGCATCGTGCTTCTCCAGCGCCTGCTTGTTCAGCGCATGACGCGGCGAGCTTGGCAAACGTTTTTCAGTTGCGGGAAAGTAGCTTTTGCTACGCGGCATAGCCGCAGGTCTCTTAGGCGTTGAGTTGGGGCTGTCCTGGAACTGATCCATCCTGTTATCCTTTTTGTCTTCGTAGGATGTGAAAGAATGTCGGTTTGGAATTGCTGGTCGCGGAGGCCGTTCGCTGGGCTGAGAGCCCTCGATGGTAAATGCCATCTCAGACAGTTCGTCGGCGCTGCTTGGAATCACGCTGCTTCTTCCCATGTAACCCATACTGTACTCATCCTCTTCCATCGAGTTGTAGGTTGCCTTCTGACCCCAGGGGACGTTTTCAAGATCCGTAGCGTCTGCCGGTACGGACAGCGTTACTCTTTCGGCCCTGTAGTGTAGTCTCATTATCTGAACCACGGCATTCCACCACGCATCGAGACCTGGCTCTGCGCTCAGCATCAAGGCCAGCTCGTAGAGATTAGGAGTGGGGAAGTCGAGGTTCTCGATCATGGGCGTGGCCCCAGGAGGCTGGAAAGTCATTGTCGAGGCGGGCGTAGAGGGATCCGAGCGCAGCTGATCGTGGAGTACAGTATTGCCAAATTGACCACCCGTTGCGTTCAGAATACCGCTCTGTAGCTGATTGTTGAAAGCCCTCTGGAAGGACATCGGCCCGTAGCTAGGCGTCGCCATGCGTGGAAACGGGTACGAGGGTGTCCTAGCTGCCATACCAGGTGTGAAGGCTGGTGTCGTGCCACCACGAACAGTTCTATTCGATTCGGTCGATGCCGTGAGGAGTTCGGAACTAGATACAGATCCGGAGGTCGGTGACAACGACAGCTCTTCGAGCACCGGGGAGGAATACTTCCTCTCCTGGTCTGATTGTGGACTTCGAACTGCCGCCTCCCGGCGCGCCAGGTCTCGCGCTAGTCGTTCCTTGTACTGCTTGATGACAGATTGAGGATCTATCACGTCGGGCGACCCCTGTGCAATGCTCACGGCCTTCCCCTTCTTCTTGTTGTCGCCCGGAGGCGGATTCGATTCGGCCCTCATGAGCTCCTGAATCCGGGGGGTCCTTTCTACGGGGAACTTGTCAGCGCTTCCTGATGCCCCATCGAAGCCACCCGAGCCTCCTCCCCCGCGGAGCGACAGCGGTTGCTCGTCGTGGTACGGCGTGTCGCCATGGCACGACGATGAAGATGGCCTTGACGGATGCCGCATGCCTTCTAACGAGTCATGGCAGCCGCAGTCGGTGTCTTGTTCGGTGTCAACATGGGCGTGTACGCGCGGGCACGGGTCGGATCGCGCATCGACGCCAGGGTCAGGATTGTCTGGTGCTGTCGGGGTCAATCTTGGAAGATCGGGAGTTGCGGAGGTTTGCTGCGGCATTCCTCATCGATGCATCCCCCCCTAGCAGAACAGGGGACCAAGTCGACGGGTGAGGGTGCAGTGTTTCGGCGTTCGCTTAAGAGGAAGAGGACGGGTTTCGGGGGGTGGGTGTGTTTCCGGCCCTGCGGCTGCGTGGTTGACTGCGAGCTGGACGCGGACTACGCGCACCGGTCGGGATGATGTACCAGTCGGTCGGGGTCCTGGGACCGGAGGACGCTGTTGTTGATGTGGTGCTGCCGTTATTCCCAGCGCTTGGGTCTGGGTCCGAGACTGGGTTGGCTGGAGTTGAGGAAATAAGCTGGTAAGTTACGGCGGATCGAGATTTGGTGGCACAGGCACGGTCTGGGATTAATGACGTAACAGGCGACAGCCCCCCGAAATAGACACGGACACGCCTGCGGCTGTCAGGTCAGGGTCTAGGGGTCGGCGAGCCGGGATGGAATTGAGGCACGAGCAGACGGCGGGCGAGCGACGACAGATGCGAATTCATCAGGTCACGAAGGCAAAACAGAGCATCCCGTGATGTTGGGTTGGAGGACCTAGTCTGCCGAATACCTAGCCTCGTTTCCAGGCTTTGAACATGGCGAGAGGGCCCCCCGATGGCAAGCCAAAACTTGGTGTTGCCATGGTCAGGCGTATCCACCGGCCTCATGCTGGCCTGGCAATCCTGGCACCAGGGCCTCCACTTTCCATCCCCTACGCCCACTATGCCTTGAATGTTGACAGGTATTCATCTACATAACAGTAGTATGGCCCATTTCGGCCGGCTTGATCACGGACAGAGCGGCAGCCAAGGCAGGCCCATTAATAATCGAACCGCGACCCGCACTATGTACAACGCCATCACCATGGCTAGTTGCTACCGACGAGTTGGGTTCTGATGAGGCGGCATGGCGGCATTGCGGCATGGGCGCCTCGCAGGCCCCCCAGGCCTAGGTATACCGCGACGGGGATGTGCCTGTCCCCAGCCTGTGCGGTGAGCTTGTTACCGCGACGATGTGAGAAGGGCCACTCCCATGATTCCGGCCGTCGTCTTTATTCAATGAAGATATCTGGGGCACCCGCTCTTGGGACAACCTAGTGCGCAGAGAGCCTTACCGGCTGTATGGCACGTGTAGGATGCCCTCTTTCCGCAGCTGGCCCATTCGCCGCATCGTCAGCCTCATCAGCGTCCATCGTTTCTGTGTCGCGCGGCTTTTACGTCATCCGTCTCTAGACATGGGACTTTGCCATGATTTCGTACGAGTCAGTGCAATATGCGTCCCATCTGCCCACCTTTCGTGTACTACCCTACTCAGTTGACCTGATTTGCTCGATAATTGAAGGACTGTCCTGCAGTGATATTCAATGCGTGCGCCGCCTCGGTCCTCCACCAGCTTCCCGTTTATGTTTCTTACAGCCCGGCGAGACTGGGCTTTGGCGCGGTCTACCCATCCCACATAAACCAAACCTTGGATCCATCCACACTACTCTTCACCACTACCCACATTTGGCAAAGCCGGAGGATTCTGGATTCGAACATTGCTCGTTTTTACTATGGGCATATCTGGGTTCTTACATTGCATTATCTGCTCATCGTCCCTACGATGCCTATGTCCATGACTTGAAAGCCGCTGCATTACAAAGGCACTTGTAATTACCCTCCTCCTGCCGCATTGCAGAAAGTCTCATCCTCCTCAACCCCCTCGCGGATATAACTTTACGTCACCACGTGGCTGTATGAGTCCAGACGGAATCAAATGGCCTAGTGTCCAGCCACGCTTTCGGTCTGGATCCGGGGACACCGCTCTAACCGCACACGCTTCAGCGAGCTAGAGGGCTCCAGACCATCTCGAGCTCTAGGGACTGACTAGTGGGCGAATCAAGCAGGTTCAAGTTGTCTTCAGCCCATCCAGAGTTTCAATGCCGACTGTTTACAGGAACAAGAATCGACCAAAGGGGAAATAGTCGGGCTTGGGAGCATTGTGAGCTCCAGGCTTGAGCGTGATTCTAGATCTCGAGAGCGGTGACTGGATCCTGCAAGGCATAGGCCCGATCTGGTAGTTTTTTGGCTTTACCCCCCCTCCTCCTTTTGTGCCACTCCATTCAGCCTGCGTTGTTAAGTCCTCATGGCCTCTATGCACTTTGAACCTTCCCGAGCCTGACTTACTGTCTACTAGGAGGCTCACTGTGACTTGATAGAGAGCCTTGAAATACCATACACAACAAGTTCACCAGGTCGGAGAGATCATCACAGCGCGAGGCCTGCTCTCATGCTGGATATGCCATTTTCGAGCCTTTTGTTCTGTCCTGGATCGCCGATTCAATTCCACGCTGAGCACAACAGTTGAAGCTGTGGAGTAGCACTGTTACAAATCTAGACCCAAAGGCGTGGCTTGCCAGTTACTACTTAGTGCCAAATATGCGCCCTTTGTCTCCGCGGAGCTATCAGCTAGGGTGCTTTGATCTCTAATTAAGGATTATTGATCGATGGCGGCTAGATCCCCGTCAGCCCTTGCTGCAATGCGATAGTTGGACCTCGACACGGCGGGAGCTAGATAAGCCAACTCCTTTGGAATAGATCTGTGGTGGGAAATTAGTACAGGAGCTGGGGAACAAGACGACCATCGTCCGGTCCTGGCATTCCTATCTGTAACACACCGGCCCATGATGCCGTGAAGACTGGGGCAAGGCTGCTTGAGCAAGAGACCTCAGCTCATGGCTGACAGGGCACGAGCAGAGAGGTTGCATTGCTGCATCTACTAGTTGAACTTGTTTCGTGTACGAATAATAGGATTGTCCGCGTAAATTTATAAGGGCTTCAAACCTCCTCACACTTAACAGAGCTGGAGGCTTCAGAAATAGCACGGCGCATAGAAGTGGCCAAAAGTCAACAATGTCAAAATATAGAGGCTCCAAGAGGCCTTGCAAGGTTCACGTCGAATCAACACGAAGATTCAATACGTGTTTATAGCGGGATACCGACGATTCTAAATTCTTATAGGAACATGAACAGTGGGGAGATAATGAACGGCACGGTACTGATTGGCTTTTCGGAGCGCTCCGGCTACCGTGGTAAAGATGGGCTAGAGGCTGAAGGTTAGTGCGAGTGGCTTCAGTCGGCGAACGGTGATCGGAGATCCGTCTCCGTCTATGTCACCGCGGCAGAGGATCTCCGCGTCCGTGTTGATTTGCATCGTAATGGCTGAAACTCATGATAACCAGGAAATTTTACCATCATTAGGTCAAGGTCCAGTTAGATCATCTAACCACTACATATTGAACCGAGCAAAAGGCATGTTGCGGTCCACTATTTGCGAGCGAAATCAGACAATTGGACAAGTTCTAGAAAACCATCCACCAGCATGACCACACTCGCTGATAAGTTCTCTACTGAGCCCCTGTCTCATAGCCAGACATTGGCTCCAGTGCTACTAACGGCCCAAGACGTCCGGCTGGCCGCCCGTGCCCAAACGTTCACATCCCCAACCTCGGGCTTGGCGCCGGGCTATCTACAGGCGAATCTGATAATCCTGCCGTCCCGGTACGCCTCCGACTTCCGGCTCCTCTGTGCCCGGAATCCGGTCCCGTGCCCACTCATCGCGGAATCCGCCTCTACGGGCTGCTTTAATGCTGTCAAGTCGTATATTCCTGGCTCGCCTGTGGCTTCGAACCTTGACATTCGGTGCGATGCGCCGCGGTATATGGTCTATCGTGATTCACAGCTCGTCAAGGCCGGGTGTCTGGACATTATAAATGAATGGAGCGACGACCACGTAGCGTTCTTGATTGGATGCTCGTTCGGCTTCGAGTCTGCGCTGGCAGCGGCCGGCCTGCCCCCGCGGCATACGGTCATGGGAAAGAACGTGCCTATGTACCGGACCAATGTGCCCATGTGTCCGGCGGGTGTCTTCAGTGGAAGCACGTACGTTGTGTCGATGCGGCCGTACAAGGCGTGTGATATCGAGAAGGTGAGGCGGATCACGCGAGGATACAATGCCACGCATGGTGAGCCGATCGCTTGGGGCTGGGATGCGGTAGCAAAGCTAGGCATTGGGAGCATCGACCAGGTCCAATGGGGTGATGCTCCCGTTACCTTGGATGGGAGGCCGTTGGGAGAGATGTCAGGTTCGGAGGAGGAATTGCCCGTCTTCTGGGGCTGTGGGGTGACTCCTCAAGAAGCTGTCATGCGAGCGAATCTCGAAGGGATAGTCATGGGTCATGCGCCAGGATACATGCTGGTCATTGATAGTCAAGATGATGATATAGTGAAGGCGACTTACACGTAGGGGAAATTTGGAAGTGTGCCCATTGAATGTATGGCGAACAGTTATTTTCCTTTTCCTTTTCTTGGGCGTTATGTATTCATCAATGTACTCTCACAAACGTGTTACAGGATTTACTTCACGTTGGTCACCTGATCCGCATAGGTCGGAGTCGTATAGAATAGTACCAAGGTGGCAGTTGTGGATATATTAGTCATTATGACGAGGAAACCACAGAAAAATTTAGCATGGATATGAGAATACAACATAGGCTCACATTCGATTCTAGCAAAAACTGTTGTTTCACAAATTGTCATTGAAGCCCCCCGGCTGGGCCAGACATATTGTCCCAAGACATTTGCTCAGGCATGAAGTCAGTATCCAGTAGAAACCCCAAGTCAGCATCGGAAATCTGAAGGTCCATGCTGCCCCCTACCAAGTCCGAACTATTCGCAGCGCCGAAATCAGCCAAGAATCCAAAATCTAGCACAGGATCTCGGCCTTGTTGGTCTTGATGATCCGCAGGTTTCAGCTCCATCGCGCGCATGACGCTCTGGCGAATTTCAATAATACATGGCCATGTATACTTGATCTGGTCCATGGCATCGAGGACAACATCAATAGACTTCAAAGTTGCTGTGTCATCTTTCGGGGCGTTTTCGAGTACTCTCTTCATCAAGATTGTTCCAGCAGTAACTGACAGGGTGTGCACAAAATCTAGAGGAAGCGCCGAGAATTTGTAAAATCTTGCATAGGTCTTCAAGAGGCGCAACATAGCCTGCAAGGACTCGTAGCATATCTCCACATCCTCACTTTGAGCAACCTCTGGCTTGTCAAATAGGTGGCGCGGAGGTCGGTGCAGTACTATCATTGCCGTATGGAAGAGCATACTAATTTCATGTAAGCAAAGGCCGGCAAAATCAGGGACAGAGGAGGCACTCACTGCAAATGGAGTACGAATTGCTGCACCGGACCGCTGCTCCACTGGTTCCAGTAGAGTTTACCTGGTAGTGTTGCCAGCCACTTGTGTAGGGAAACATGAATACGCTGAGCATTGGTGGCTAGCACAGCGCTGTCAGCGTTGTGCCTTCGGTTCTCGAAAAGGTCCGTGATCATTATATGAATGATCTTATAAAGCTCAGTCCGGTAGATGAAGCTGCCAGACAAGGCAATACCATCCTCATATGCGGTGGCAGATACATCCTTGGCAATATAGGTTTCGAGGAGGCCCTGCCAGTCATCTGGATAGGGAATACGGATCGTGTTCCGCACATCTGATTCATGAGGATAGAGCGCCGGTGGGCGGCCAAAATACAAGCTGATCTGCTTATCGGCGTTGAACGCAGCCCAGTACACCCTCCGCAGGATCTCCCGGTCACGGTCGATTTGAGATTCAGAGGAACCTTGCCAGTTGTTTGGATCGAGATGGAGACCCATCTCATGTGCCAATCGAAAAGCCATGCCACAGAATAACCACCCTTTTGATGCTTTACCGTGTCCAATGAATCGATACCCTAAAAGGATCAGAGCTTGGAGAATTGTCAAGTCTGGCTTGTCTAGTGATGCATATATCAAGAACTCAGCCTGGCCGGCGAAGACCTCGGAGACAGACAGCATAGAAGGGTCGGCGGAGGCCAATGCACCCATAGCACAGATGGCGTATAATAGAACATCCGAATAATAACGACCGGCGCCTGTGTCGTAGTCTCGCAAGAAAAACTCTCGGTATACGCACATGCTGTAAGGGTATTGCTCTTTGAAAAAGGTTGCCATCAAGCTCTGACATGTATCATCGTGAGGAGAATACGGGAACTGCCCCCCACCCTCTGAAAGCAACGAAGGGGAGCTATCGCTTTCGCATCTCACGAATGGTGCTTCCACCTCGTTTGGAGTCGAAGAAGACGGTGAATCATCGGCAACGTGTAGTTGGAAAAGACTTGTGCTTCCGAAAAACTGTGAGGCGTTACCAGCTCTCAATTTTCTTAGCTGCCCAGCTCGAGCTCTTGCAAATGCTAACTCAAGGTCAGTAGACATATCCGTTTTGGTTTCTGGGGTGAGTCCATCCTCGGAGCTAGCGGGCTTGCGAGCATAACCTGCGAGCATCTCGTCTCGCTTGGCATTATCTGCGGCGGCCAGTTGTTGGATGAACAGCTCCAACGATGCGACGTTGCGTTCCAGAGCCAGGACGTAGCTCTTCGGGACAGGTCTTCTGGTCTATGAGCTGGAATTCTGTACGGATCGAAGACAACTGACCTTTGCTTCTCCCCTAAGCCTGATATTACGCACGTAGTGCCTGCTTTCTTGCACCCTACACACGGCTGCTGACGGTCACATTTGATCTGAACATTCGGTTAATATCTGTGAATATCACTCAGAGCCATAATAACGCTTGCTTTTCTCCTGCGACATCTCTCGCATCTGAGATGAGTTTCATCAGTTAATATATATACTCTCTGACCTTACTAGTAGAGAGGCACCCACGAAGTAGTTGCGATATCGCCAATCGCGGTGGTCGGAAGGGAAGCCATGAGCAGCGCAATCAGTCTCGAGTCTATCGAAATCGAACTATGTCCCCATAGCTGTCAAGTTCAAGGTCCCAAGTTGGCCAAGGCTGATTCACGTCGTTTAAATGGTTACCACGATGGGGGGAGCCTGATCAGCCGCACGCCCACTATCAGCTTCAGTGCATCGGACTTCGACCCACAACTTTATCGTTGGAGCATGGACAGTATCTAGAGAACATGCACAGTGATAATCACTGTGGCCGTATTTATTCCTCCCTCTGCCGCAACAGTCTCTGGTAAACGAAGCCTTAAGACTATCGCCGAATCCACATATCTATTGACTCGGTGATTTCCACAGATCTGGTATTAGTCTATTGAATTCTGAGATCTTTGGTCCCATCTGTTGTTGATAGAGCCTGCAAGCAATGAGCTCAGGACATCTAAACATGCACACCCCCGATCGAGGCGTTTCATACTAGTCAGTATACATACGTAGGCAATTTCATCAATAGGTCTAACGGCTCATGCCACTTCAAATGACCGCCGCCATTGGTGTATACGTGAGGTAGTTGGAACTGTCAATTGAATGGGCTAAACCGGTTCAAACATGTACAGGGATGCTGGCACTTTTCCCCGCTTGGAGGAGCTTCGTTCAGCTGTTGATCAAGGCCCGGGTAACTAAAGCACCCCGGACTTGCCCCTGTTGCCTAGTGCCCGCGTGCCAGATTCAAGCGGAACCCCGTCATAACGTCCTGTCAACAACACACCATTGACAGAAGACGCATCATCCGGGTCAATTCAACAACATCCAAGCTGTTGACATCCGATCCATCAGTGGTATCTCTTAACAATTAACCAAGGGCTTGTCTTCATCGCTATGGCAGACGGCACTCAGAATCGAGGCGATGAGCGGACGCCGCTCTTAGGCTCTGGCGCCGGCGGTAGAGATCCTGGGACGGAAGACAACACAGGAGGAGAGGCCGAAGACTTTGCCGACCTTAACCGGCAGGTTAAAAGCTGGAAGCGACGCCGATGGATCTCATTCGTCGCTAGCCTTTTCCTAATCGTGGGTTTCGTGGTCATCCTGGTTCTGTCTGGGGGTAAGATCATTCCATTGCCTGATTATCAAAGCCCCTTTGCGAAACTTGATGGGAGCCGTCACTGCATAGGGGGGTGCATTTGGGAACAGCCCCCGGGAAAGAAGTCCATAGACAGGATAAGCCCTGTTGGATTCTTCCCACATCTTACTGTCCGACTCGATACAATTCAAAAGAAGGCACGACCTGGCAACCCGGCATTGCGTCATCTATACTGGCAGTCGATTGAAGTCAATCATTATCGGGAGCTCGATTAATTTGCACTTGCGATGCTGCATTCATCCAGCTCTCCCCGATTGGTCTATGGGAAAGACTGGACCTACCACCACCTTTGCACAGTTATTCTAAAATCAAATTTGCGGAGCCATATGCTTCAACAACATGTTCTCTAGGCTGACATAGCATAGTACTTTCACGCTCGAAAGGCAAACTACACATGGGTTCGTCAGTGTGCCTCACGTCGGCCTGCGTGCATGCAGCATCCGAGATATTGTGTAGGTCACCGACTCCTCCTTTTGGATCAGTGGCTCATCCTCACCAGATGATCTCTCACCTGATTACCAGAGCATCGATCCATGCACGAACTTCGATCAACTTGTCTGCCAAGGCTGGCAAGCCCGTCACGATATTCCAGAAGACCGGAGCTCTTCTTCGACCTTGTCTTTGATGGCTGAGGAAGGTCAAACCACTATTAGGCACATCCTGGAGGGCTCTTATCCTGGCCAATCCAAGGTATGTTGCAAACTCATCGACCTACCACCTTACTTTGTCATCCCATCACATCCAGCGACATGAGTCAGGCGCTATCGCTATCTGCGATGACTATAGTTCTCCCATGATCAGAGGCTAACTTTGAGAAGCACTCCTCATTTTCACCTATGAGACTCGCCTCTGTAGTTGCCTCCACCGACGAAGAGAACTTCAATGTCATGAAGGTTGCTTATAATGCCTGCATAAACGAGACTGCAATCAAGCAGGTCGGGGTTCAACCACTGGTTGATCTAATTCGAGAGGTTGCGGAAGTTTTCCCGGTCGTTGACGGCTCTGACACTGCCAATGAGGTTCTTGGGAAGGATGACTATGCCAGACTTAGTGATACCATCCTTCTCCTGGAGAAATGGGGTGTGAGCACGTTCGAGGAACTGGGAACTGGTGCAGATGACAAAGACCCGGTATATCTCAATGCAATCTCTTACAGCACACCATCTAATGTCTGGCCTAGGAACTCGTCATTATCCAAGCCTCCCCTGGAGGAATTTCTCTTCCGTCGCCAGAGTATTATGATGACAAGGACACCATTCACAAATACGAGGAGACTCTAAGCGCTGTATTCGGTAAACTGCTACCCAATAAGAAGGCTCAGGCCCAGGCGGATAAATTGGCAAAATCAGTTGTCGAGCTTGAGAAGAAGATAGCAGCAGTAACTCCGCCCCCGGAGGATCAGCAAGACGTTACTGTGAGTGAAGCTTGATAATATCCTGACACACAACACTAAACTTACCATTTGAAGAAATACTACAACATCGCGAAGGTATCTGATGCTGGTAAAATTGGGCCAGCCTTGCGATATGACCTGGTTCTTAAGAGTCTTGGTAAGTGATATGAGATTTTTCCATACATTTCGCACCAGAACTATACAAACCTTCTGGAAACTGTCCTAATCCACATTGTACTCCCAAGGGCCAGAAACTAACAACCAAATTTAGTGCCGTCCAGCTATACTACAGATACAATGCTGCTTGCCTTCCCCGAATTCCTGGCAAACGTCTCACAGATATTGACTGAGACTAGCAAATCAACAATCCAAGCTTACCTGATTTGGAATGTCATTACAGCTCATCACAATCACGTCGAAAGCTCGGAAGTCGAACCTGTGTCCCGCTTCTTCAACGTTCTAGCAGGGAAAGAGCCTGATACCAAGTCCGAGCGCTGGAAGACTTGTAGTGGTGTCGTTGGCAACCAAGTCGGCTGGATCCTGAGTCGATTTTTCATCGAAAAGGCTTTTTCAGAGGACGCCAAGAAATTTGGAGACCAAATCATTATGGAAATCAAGCAGCAGTTCATCTCGACGCTCAATGGTCTCAGCTGGATGGACGACAGCGTCAAGACATCTGCGATACGAAAGGTCAACTTGATTGATCAAAAGATTGGTTATCCGACCGAGTCTCCTGATATTATGAGCCCAGAAGCTTTGCGGGACTACTACCAAGGCCTGGTGATATCCGAGTCCTTTTTCAACAACTCGATTTCCAGCAACCTCCTGAGCGTTAATAAAACGTGGTCGGCACTGGGAAAACCGGTTGATCATGGAAAATGGGAAATGCTATCGACCACGGTCAATGCCTACTACTCGGTATGGTTCCTTCCTGCTCTATCCTGTTCCCTTCGGTATCATGAAGCTGCGGGGCTTCACGAAGTGATTCCCTGAGGAGTCTCACGCCATGAAGATGGTATCAAGCCATCACTCACTCCTGGCGAAGACAATTGATAAGAAACTTACTGACTTGTGATATCGTAAGCCTGTCGGCGCCGAGATCGTCTTCCCTGCCGCCATCATGCAATTCCCAGTCTTCCAAGTTGACCTCCCATCGTACATCAGTTACGGAGCCTTTGCTGCTGTCGCAGGGCACGAATTGTCGCATGGTTTCGACTCGTCTGGTCGCTATTATGACGAGCACGGCAAATACACAGACTGGTGGACCAACCACACAGTCGAGGAGTTCACGAAACGAGCCGATTGTTTCGTCGACCAGTATTCAAACTTCACAGTCGACGTGCCTAATGGAAAACCGCTACATGTGAATGGACGACTTACCCTGGGTGAGAATATTGCCGACGCGGGAGGCTTAGCAGCCGCTTTCAGGGCTTGGAAACAACGCCAGCAATCAAGCCCTGACGAGGATCTGCCCGGTCTAGACCACTTCAGTCACGAACAGCTTTTCTTTATTTTCTATGCCAACTGTAAGCCAACTTTATCAACTATCTCCATGACATTATTAATGATTCGCGTTCTCAGGCTGGTGCGGAAAGATTCGGCCCCAACAAGCCGTACAGTACATATACACCGACCCTCATTCACCAACCTTCGCCCGTATCTTGGGCACAACAGCGAACTCCAGGGCCTTCCGGGAGGCATTCTCCTGTCCCGTCAAAGAGCCAACGTGCGAATTGTGGTAAAGAAGGGGTTACTAATGGAAAGGATCCTAGGATTCTGAGACTGGAACTGTCGTCTTTGCCATGCGTATTGATTGGGTACTTTTCTTCAATGTAGGAATCTTAGTAGGGTTGGTTCACAAAATTCGCATATTAAACGATGAAAAAAACAATAAATAGTTTGTGCAACGTCGAATCAACGCAAGTACTGATTGATACTGTGACCAAGTCCACTTTCACACAAAATGCCTTTGTCTATATCAATGAATATTTCTACTTTGCCTCCCACAAGATTGATTCAAGAGACAAACCCCTTCGAGTTGTCTGGTTTCGTGCCTGTGAAACAATTGGCGGTCTGCTGGAGCCCCCAGATGCTTATTTCGACAAGGCATTCCCATTTCAATTTAGTTACCTAACCCTACAAAGACTACAAGAACGGCGGCGTAAGCGGCGGTCCCTGACATGACCTCCTTGGGCTTTTCCAAAAACCACGCCATGACGATACCAAATGCTACGACAAATGCTGTGGTTGACACCAAGCCCGTGTACTGCGTATTATGCAGTACCATCAGCCACATAGGTCCAATCAGGAAGAAGCCGGCCACTGCCGCTATGACAAGTCTTTCCTTGAACCCATTCTTCCAAGATTTTGCAACGTCATCGTTTCGCGTACCCCTGATGGGCTGGCTGCCTTGTTCCCATGGCCCAGCAACAGATATCGGGTTGCCAAACGAGCCTCTCTCGAAATCGCTCAGGACATCGCCCATGAGCGAGTGCATCACAAAAGAGTCAATTTTGCGCTCTCCAGAAACAAGAAAAGGATCTCGCGGAAGTTGGCTGCAGTTGATCATGTAGTCGTAATCCTGGACGGCCTTGACTGCCAAGAATGTCAGAAAGAACTGGACTCGATGTCGGCCTCAGTGCGGTGCTAAAAGACTTACTATAAGCCTCCAGGTCTTCCTCCCAGTCTTTGGGCTCCCCACCCGTTTTCTTCATGTGCGCTACATGCTTCACTAGTTTACACTGGAGCTTTCGTAGACGCATACGCTGGAGCTCCGCAAGATTGATTCTGAAATCTTTGTCCTCGTAAGGTCGCTTCCACTTGTCTTGTGCCTCTTCTGGGCTTCTGATTCTTCGCCGACCTTTCCACCAGTTCAGCAAGCCCAAGGACAGACCGCGGTTCTTCTTTATGCTATCAATAAGGCCGTTTGCGTGATGACTGACTACCCACGCGCCAGGATCATTGGCGGCTCTACTTAGGTCCGTATTGACGACCCTAGTGTTCCAAGTACCTTTGCGTTCTGGCATTGAGTCTTGTCGTTCCGGGATTTGCTTTACAGGCTGCTCAATGAACGATCCTGCGCGCTCTCCGCGTTGCATGGACGATTCGATGCTGGATCGAGTAGCTTGAAGACCCCCGCGGAATTCAATGTCTCCTTTAATAGACGATATACTCTGTGGGCGCCAGGAAGCAGAGTTGTTTCTGTCAGTACTGTTGACTGATGCTGCATACGCTCCGCCTCCGGAAGTTGTGGACTTGCCAGATGAGCGTCTGGAGACACCTGCGCCGAGGCTATCACCAGCCGGTTGGGCAGCCTGACGCTCATCGACTACCAGTGATTCAGTCCCCGGGATTTGGAAGGCATCAGGGAGGAACCCACCATGGTCTATTCGGTCTGTAACCTTGCTATCGGCATTATCCACCGCCCCGTTTCCGATGACATCTCCTGTCTTCTCATGGCGAACATTGTCGCTTTGCTCTCTATCCATCACAAATAGTGAACAAAGATATCACCGTTGGAATCAAGGTTGCGATGTTGCAGCCTTGCTCACCACAGTTTCGGTCTTTCTTACCTGGTGCAATGCAATATAGAAGTTGGTAGTATGGTGTTTCGGTGGGCATGCATGTGTGGTCTCATCAGCTACTGTTAACAGGCAAGCCTTCAAATGACGATCTAACTCACCGAAATTATTCGGACACACTACCGAGAAAGATAGACAAGCAGGCGACGATTTGGCAGGTGTCCGAACAAGGTTGGGGGCCAGATTGAATGAAAGAAATTCTTGCATTAACAACTCTGCCGGGTTGGACGAACGAGCTCAAGCGAGCCAATAGGACCATTTCGAGTGTATGCGCTGTCAGCGGAGCTGAAATAAGAATCGGCAATACCGCACACATGCTCGGTCTTCCCCCTTCAGGTCGTACTAGGCGTCTTCTATATCAAGGGTGGCCACAGCCTGCCGTCTGCTGCACCAAGACCTGCGGTTAGGTCAGAGCTGATGGAATCGAATTGCTACTTAACTCGCTAGAGATCCCACCAGTTGGCACTAAATAGAACTGCCATTGTGGTCAGGACTCGTTCCGTTCCAGGCATTACTGGCATCTAGGCAATCATATCCACTGTGATATATGGGCTGATGCTGTCAGCAACTTCTTAGATGTTCAAAAATTTCTCGTGTCGTTTGGTGCCCCCAAAACCCAAGACGCGGCTGACACTTTAATCATCTTATTCAATCCCGACATTCCCAACAAGCAGCAAGCGAGCAACGGATACACTAGACGAAATAAGGAAGAAAGGAATACTTCAAGTCAGGCAATATGAGCTCCGCTGGAGAAGCATATCTGGAAGTGTCTATCCACTTCGACCCGCGGAGGATCTCCGTAGGATTTCGAACGGAGGGCCAAGCCATTCTCTACTATGGATTGATACAACAACGATCTTTCACAAGAGACATGGCGCTGGACCCTAACGTATCCGGCCGCTGGGTGTCTGTGCGGCTGCCATCCAGGGTGACGGACGTGGTAGCGAGCACAAGCTGCAACGGATTCTACCTGTGCTTCAGCAGCACGGAAACGGCGAGTGGGTGGCACAGGGCGCTGCTGATATGGAAGTTCTCGGCGGGAAGCACGTCCAAGTTGTACGTGGAGAGGGACATGCCGAACCGGCGACTGAATGAGATTTTGGGCATTTCTGAACCTCCGCGAGCTAAGGGCGTGTCAGCTGCACACACTAGTGCAGTACGGAAGCTATAAATGTGGTAGATATCCCCTTGGCGCCCTTTGACAATGGTCTGGCATCGCACTCGAATTGCGTGTTGTATGCTCACACTTTTCATACTCCGTCTCGTGATGATGCTAAGCTGGGAGGCAGAAGCTTTCTTGAAACCGTTACTTGACGTGGTGAGAGTGTGTTATAGATTGATCGTATCTTTCATAACTCGCAGTATTCCAATGTGACTATCAATATATATCAGTGAGTCACTGACAGCTAGCACCTACGTAGAAGCCACCCATGTAAAAAAACTGGGTTTGAGTTTGCTGTTGTTATGCACCGTAAATCATGAAGGACCAGAGAAGATTATGTTTCAACAGGTCCTCAACGAGGCCGTCGGCGTTGGATTACAAACATTACGTAAAAATACTATACGATAGCTATTTCATTTGGTGACCCTCATTCTATCATACGCCGGCGCCGTTCCCCAGGTTGGTCTTTCGAGGTATGCCAGGCCGCTCCGGTGAGACACCAATGAAGCTGCGAAACTAGCATCAGGGCCAGATATCTGGTTTGAAAGTCCAGGGGTCGATTGAGCGCAGAAAAGGGTATATTGCAAGATTTCATTCAAATGCAAGGTGTAAACCACGCCTTCCCCCAACGCAAAACGTTTTGTGGAGAACAAGTGACATAGGAAAGGTGATGGACCGTAGACGCGGCCCTTGCGATGTGATCAGGGTGGAAGGGCCAAGGCTGCGACAGCGGCGGCTCTGTGCCAGCTGCTAGAGCTGACTATGCGGCTTGAACATGGGCTCGAATATTTCTTCTTATTTTGGAGAAAAGCGTACCGAGCTCCCTGCCCTGCATGCCGTGCCAGCGAAGCAAGCCCTTGCTAGGTGGTCCTTGAGCGCTGCGCAAAGGAGTGAAGACGGACCGCCTAGGCTTTCTTCATCTTACTGTGATGTTGCTTGTACTCGGCGCGAACCACCTTCATGAGCAAGTCGTCATCCTTGACCGGGACGAACGAAGTGAGCGCCTTCATTGCATTCTCAAATTCGGAATCAACAATGTGTTCGCTGAGAGCAAGGACAATTGCTGTGCTCGTTGCGTGGAGGATCTCGAGGCCTTTGGACGAGTATGGCTGCGCAGTCGACTTGCCACCGGTGACCTCCTGACTCGGTGGATCAGGGGGCGAGTCACCCAATAACATGAAGATGTCCCACACCCGAAGTTGGGAAGAAAATGGTATCGATAGGTGGAAGACTGTCAAGTACCACCTTGTACCGTAGGCTGTGGGGTCGATGCAAAGCTCTTTAAGACTCTTTGCAACGTCCTTTTCCGCCAGCCAGTACTTCTCAAAATCGCGCAAGGCATCCATTAGCTCTGTAAAGTTGGGCGAATACAGGCGATTCAGGCCCCTCAACTCCCAAAGCCGAACAAGCATGACGAAGCACCTTTCCTCATCGTAGTAGCTAAGGAGTGTAGCCGCTAAGGAGGCCATCCCTTGCACATAGCCAGTCTGGGGGAAGTACAGGGACAAGGCATGCAGCACTCTGAACAAGAGCCGCTGTCCGCCTCGGTATCTTCTCCGAAACATGATGTGTTGGCTGATTGTCCTGGGTACGTCAAGATCAATTTGCACATCATCTGACGATGGCTGCTCTTGCAATCGGTGGAATGCCGCGAATAGCTCGGCTTCAGAGGCGGTAGATTTCTTGCTACTGCGTGCGCTCGAGGCGAGGAAGGAGTACCAAGCTGCAGCGCGCCACCTGTCAGGGATGCCCTTCCATGTCCGCTCGACGAGCTTTGGGTGCTTCGGATCAAACTCAAAGACCATACCCTCTCCGTCCTTGCCATGCTTGATGACTTTCGCCATCCTGCGCCATTTCTCGGTACGTTGCCACTCCTTCTGCTTGTACTCGTCGGCTAGTTGCCCAGCTGTGGTGTCTTCGCCAATACTGACAAAGCCGTGTTGTTCTGCAAGCATCTCCCCGGCCTCGTCCATCCACCTCCTGTCCCTGTTATGGGGGAGGAGATTTGCGGCTTGTCGGAACGCAGAACGAGTCGAGCGCCGCGAGGCCGTAGACATCTTTGAAGTTGTTGTATGTAACGAGCGCGTAGACATTTTCTTACTAGGCCCACGCCTCAGCCCCAGATGCTTGGAATAATGTCCCTCGTCTTTGCGCATTGACAGATTCCGATGCTTGCGCGGCGAGTCTTGGCCGGGACTACCAAGGCCGGGCGGAGGCGCACTCGAGGGTGTCATGGGCCTCCTGGGTGCAATGAATCCGTAACGATCGACGTCCTCTACTTCCACATCCTCCCAGTCCTCGATCCCGCCGGCAAGTTCATACTTGCGTTGTAGTTGTTCACCTTGTGGCGACGCAGTAGGCGCCGATGACTCTGGAATCCCAGATGCTGCTGGTGTAGGGGTTCCAGGACGATCCTCGGGACTTTGATGAGGTTGACCTGGGTCTTGGCTCTGGCTTTTGATTGACCTATAGGAGGCAAGATTGTCAGCATTATCAAGGAAAGCGCGGGTCCGGAAAGTCAAGGAAACCATACGCATGCTCATCCACGTCTGACGGGACCTCGATTGTGGGCTCGAGACGCTCACCGAAGGATGAGAGCCTGGCCCCGTCTTCCCATTTGAGTCCTTCCCCGGGTTCATAGAGCGATCTCACCTTTTGAGATTCCCTTTCCACATCTACTGATATAAGCCGGATGCTGGGAGGGTGTTGCGGCGAATTGGGGCTTGTCGGCGATGAAGTCGCATTGTGTGTGGTCGTGGAGGGTCGTGGAGGCGTCCTCCTGGAGCTGTGAGAAGACCGTGGCTCCTCGGATTCGACGATGATGGAGGGCGCAATCGAGGGTGCGACACCATGGGCCTGAGATCGCGGCATAGGAGATGGCGCCAGGGGGAATGCGCGCGGTTCGCGACGCTCTTGCTCGTGCTCGCCCATTGCGGTAGCCTCTTTCGACGGGCGTTTCCCACCGAGCATGATGCTCCCACGCTTGGAAAAGGAGATGGACTCGACGAACTCGGAGAAGTCGTCGGCTGCGCCAGGCGCAGGTGCAGTCGTCAACGCTGGCGACTCCTCCACAGGAGAAGGGGCACTGAAATCATGATGATGCAGTGGGGCGCCGTTAGGCTCAGCTAGGGGAGGGTAATTAGCCTTAGAGGCGATTGCCGGCGGTGTCTTGGCCCGATTGGGAGACTCGGCAGGGGTCCCATCCCTTGGGTCCTCCACCATGGCCGGGGGCTGGTATCGCTTCTTGAGCCGTCTTGTCGAGGATCTCATCGATGAACTCGCGGCACGGAGGCTGAAGGGGCGTGAAAAGATTGATGACGAGAATGTCTTCTCGGGGAGCTTGTCAGGAAAGGAGGGAGGTGGGGTAGTTGGAGATGTTGGCGACACGGTGTTGACTTCCGACAGGCCGGGCGAGGGCAGAGGAATGCTGGATTGGCTGCTGTTGTCGTTGGTGCCGCCCAGACTGCCCCCCTGTCCGTTCTCCGAGTATATCGAAGTTGGAGACGACGGTCGGATCCTCAACGGCGGGACGACAAACTCTGGGATCACCAATCTTCTGGTGATGGGGAATTTTTCGTACTGAAAGGGATCCTCGTCCTCGCTCTCCTCGTAGAAGGTGCCCGACCTCGAGGATGCAGTTGGTGCGAGGCCAGAGTCGCGTTTAGGGTCGTCCGGTTTGGTGCGTGGTGCCGTTGATTGCAGCACTGTCCGCAATGCAGGGTGCTGCTCTGCAGGTGGAGCAGGACGAGGAGGGGCGATCACTACCGGGGCGGTGGTGGAAGAAGAAATATACGAGACAGGCCGCGTCGATGCGTGGCGGCTCAGGGCGCGCAATGGCGACCGTGGAGGGATGGGAATGGGCGGCTCTGCTTGGGTCGTCTGGTCGTATCGCAGGCCGACCAGGCTAGAGTCGTCTCTGAACGGTATGAGCGTTCCCGGCCGGCTCTTGTAGCGCACACTGGCGTGCCTCTGTGGTAGCATTGTTGGGTATAGCGCCAAGCAACAATGTTTTCTTCTTTTCCTTTTCTCCCTTCCTCTGCTTCTCCTCTTTTGCCGATCGTCGCGATGGAGGGTACTGCTATGCAACGTAATCCCGAGGTGCCTGACCCGGGGTTGTGAAATCGAGCTTTCTCAATGGATTGGCTGGGCTGCCTGTCTCTCTCCGTCTGCAGTCAACCAAATATGTGGTGAGCGGGTGCAGTGTGCCGCTAACACCCCAACCTGAGACTAACGTGTGACGATGAGATACCGCGAATTTCAGGTGACTCAAAGAGGATGCCTGCCTGAAGTCAACGTGAGCCAACCCACAGGCAGACAGGCGGCTGCAAGATTCGTCGGGGTTAAATGTATTCGCACCCCGCGATCGAGGCAATGTGTTGGGTGTAAGTGAGGGGCCGATCCGGGGCGAGATAACTTAGAGTTTTGGCAAGGCCTGTACTGACTCAAAAAGTGGGATAACTATTGACTCGAGCTGCACTTATACAACTGAGCTCTGATTCATGACCCGACAACATTAAGCGGGACAGGACCCGTGTAGCACAGGCTCGCAGGGAAACAGACGAGACCCGGGAATGGGGGAGGCAGTGATATATTTGTCGTGAGGGTGCAACCGGCACGGGCTCGTTTGATCTGTGGAATGCGCCCTGGGTGGGAAAACACATCATGGGGAAGGGTATGCTCCTTCCGGCATACACATGCATACCAACTGGGTTAGCATGGCTCATTGACAGGTGGTGATTCCCGTTTGGGTCTCTATGCGGGAACGCCTGATTTTGCTTTTCTCCCTACTCGACCTGCTCAGAGTTCTAAACAAACCCACATGCCACATCGAACGCCCGACGTCCCCCAGTGGAGTATGCATGTTGACCTCCACAGGCTCTAGCCGGGGGTTGCTGGCTACGTCCATAGTGACACACCATTCCATAGGGCCGCGGCCACATCTGAGAGGAAGCTCCCTCCCGTCAGTGACAGCCATGCCCATGCACATTCACCATTACCCTTCCCAATTGGCGGGGCACGATCTGCACATAGGCCCGTTGCCGTTCTAGGTAGGGTCCTCAGCGGGACGAGGACGGGGATTGGCTCGAACCGGGCCCTCAGCTCTCTGTACCATAGTATGAGTTGTCTTCAATAGCCCCGCGAATAGTTCTCGCCAGGGCGCTGTGTTGTCGCACATGTTCACCGGACGGCGTTCATGACTAGTTACACTTCGACTACAGTCGCAAAGCTCGATCGATAGCCAATCTCTACTTGACTCAGTTCTAACTACGCCTCGCCCGCCCCGGGCTTGACAAGCGCGCGGCCTGCAAACTCTATTTCATTCTCGCCTCTTATGCTTAAGCAAACTGTTGTGACTTTGTTGCCCCACGATGACGCTTGGGATTCCGACTGGATGAACGGGGCAGGACGGGGCAGTTCGCATGCTAGGCGGTCTCCATACTGGCAGGGCTAGTTGTCCGTCACGCTCTTCCTGCATTCAACTACCGGGAGAAACGTCCTGAAATCCCACCAAGCACTATATCCTGACTGTGATGCCGCCGTGGCTGCCCTCCCACCTCCACGCATTTGCGGTCCTAAACCCCTACGCTTCCGTCAGACCATCCCGGTAGTCGTCGTTTCTCCTCTTGAGGGAAGGGAGGTTGTTCAAGGTGTCGATTGGAGGTAAAAACACTTTTGAAGTGGGGCCTATGCAGCGCCCTCTTCCCCATTTCTCTCTTAGATACCCTCCTTTAGAGATGAACCACCGGGATAACCAACTTCGGGACGGAGATGAAGATGTAGGTATCCAGATTTTGTCTAGCATAGGTACATGCGGCGAATAAGAAATAACGCCTCTCATTGTGCGCGCCCACTGTTGTTAACGGACGCCCGGCCACGAGCCAAGACCATGAAACCAAGAGATGGAAACGTCGATTTCTTATTGCGACAAGCTACTAATGCGATCCAGGCCAACCAAGTGCTGGCTTAGTTCGATCCTGCGCGGGGTGGACAGGCAATGGGCACATCACGCGTCGCCGTCTTGCCCACCAGACGGAACATGATGCCCCGGTCGTCCGGGGATAGCATCAATCTCAACCTGGCCCTTTACCCAGCCATCCAGGTAGCTCGTTCGGGCATTAGGAACAGCAGTGATCATGGGAGCAGAACGGCAGTGCCAACGCTGCTATTTTGGGGCACGGGACGGTGCTTGGCAAAATGTTTCGGACCTTTTACAAAACCGCAAGAAAGTCACGTTTTTCTGATAAACCTCACCACCTTGTCAATTCTTATTTGACTTATAGCTGACCGCTTTCTCAAGGCCAGCTTCAATGGGCCCGCGACAGCTATGCAGCACTGAGGTGCTTTATCAGGTAGCCCACGTCGCCCACGTCGCCCGAAATGTCGGTGATATTCATTTTGGTTGGGCTGCTACAATTCCACGTGGTTAGAGTGGAGCATTGGTGATGGGCCGACTAGTGTATTTACAACGCATCAGCATCCAGAGTAGGTGAGCAGTAAATTTATTCATCCCATTGAGCAAGCCCTCACAGGAGGCAGACAAGCCGTAGCTCCAGAATGCAATCTGCCACCCAACGCCTCCCACGTTGATGCCATATACCTAGATATGCCCCTTACACCGACAGCTTCGCCCTTGCAGAATGCAGAATGCACTGTACATATCTACAGCCGAAGGCGGTCTAGTTGCCAATAGCTATCATGAATAGCGTTCTCTACCCTTGCGAACTAATAGTGTCGTGCTGACGTGGTGGCGCGTGTCGATGCCTTCGCAGTTGCAGGTTGGTATTGTTCTTTGGAGTTTATTTCTGTGGTAATGTATGTTTGGCCATTCATACTTCTTCATTCTCCCAGTCTTTTTCGCCAAACATGCGCTTCTCCTGGCCACTTAATTCCAGCTTCTCCAAAAACTCAGGAGGTACGGTCGGGATGTACTTCCTCTCGCGCTCCTTGTTAAGCCCACCAAAACCAGCACCGTAGGTGACCAGCATGTCTGTTACAGACGGCAGAGAAAACGGTAACATGAGGGAGGGATCAAGGTTGAGGCCCTCTGGCATATCATCATCTTCATCGGCATCAGGATTTGGAGTACCTTGTGCACTGCCCAAGCCACCTCCCTCGTGGCCGTTTGTGCTTCTGATTGGTGTAGAAGGACTGCTGCCAGGTAAAGGTGAGGCTGTCCTCCGCCGATCTCGTTTGATAGCTGCCTCCTTTTGGATGGCCTCGAGGTACTTCATTGCACTCTTGGGCAAGCCCTTCTCTCCAACTTCCGGCCGGTAATATTTCGCCGTGTATATGAGTTGCTGTGGGCTCAACCGAGGGAGTTGTTGGAGCGTGCCTACTAACGCCTCCAAGTCATCTGGGTCGAGGGAAGAAAAACACTGAAGCCATTGAAGTAATTGAATGACCGGAGCTAGATGTCGCCGTGCAGCATCGACAGTGGTCTCACCCGAAGCAGTCGTCTCCCCGTGTTCGTAATGCTCCGGCTTCCGATTGTTTGAGCGTGCCCAGTCCTCCAAGACTGAGACGTTCATTCGGATCTGCATAGCTTTGGTTCGCGCAAGATACTTCCTATTGTTCATGATGCGATTGAAGAGCTCTGCACCGAGCCAATACAGTAGCTGCGAGGTAATCTGAGACGTTATGACAGAATGGATATCGTAGAGGTCGAGCACAAATAGGGTCGACGATAAGAGGGACGTAACATTTCGCGGAGCAGGCTTTGCTCGCTGTTTGGGCGAAGGCGGGCGCATTCGCTTTTCGAGCGGCTCGGCCTTCACCTCCTTTTTCCTCTTGAACAGCTTCCACTCGTGCTGGAACGTGACATCTTCGAAGCCGGGAATGGTCTCGTGTTCCAGCATGGCTATGTCTAGGACCTTGTCAAGGCGCCTTTCGGCATCTCTGACAATAAGAATGAATATCTCGTTGACCAGTTCAGCCAGTTGGGCTTGGAACTCGGTTGTAGCCTCAACAAGCCCCGCATCCTTCTTTAAGTAGTGAAGCAGAAGAGTGGCATTTGACATCCAGAATGCAAGGATGGTCATGTCCCACTGATGCTTCTCGACGACATCATTAATTTTGTCTTGAGCACGAATTAGGAGCTCTGCTAGTAGTTCGCGACTTGAATGATAGTGCGCATAGCGTGCGCTCAAGAAGATCATGTTCGCCGGAACGGGTTTCTGAGATGGCGATCTCTGCGGGCTCATGTTTGTAATGATAATGTCCAGTATTCTGTCCAGTTGGTTTTCTTGGAAGACGAACATCTGGTCATGAAGACAGCGACTCCAGTCGAACTCTTGTGCTTCTTCGTCAAACTCATCAACGGCCTGCGAATGTTAGAGATGTGTTCTTCGATGGGCTCGGGTAGCATGGCACTCACTTCTGGTTGATCGTCCATACCCACGTTGCCGAGATCAACCTCGAGATCGCGAGCACTGTCCATCATCATTCGCCGCCGCAGTTCGCTTTCGGCGAGTTCTTCCTCGAACCGGTCCTGCGAGAAGCCTGGCTGGTAGAAATCGTCTGTGACACCTGCAGTACCAATGTTGTAGCCATTGTCGCTTAGGTAGAAGGACATTTCGCTATCCGGTGCGACAAAATCGAATGCTGTTCTGCCAGAAGAGGTTTTCGCCTCGGCCGATGCTCCGCTGTCCAGCAAGATCTTGGCTATTCCCTTGTGGCGGTTGGTCATTGCCCACATCAAGGCACTCCACTGGTTACGATCTTGCTTGTCGACATCCACTCCGGCATCAACCAAGGCTTGCACTACACTCTCATGGCCCTGGATGAGTCAGCGAACGAACACTCCGACATTCCAGCACTGTGTAAGGCGATCGATTCCACATACGAAACAACTTGCGTAGACGAGCGGCGGCGTCCCGTCTTCATCAGGCGCATTTACGTCCACGAAGGCCTTTGCCTTCCCACCAAGGATCTTGTTGACCTGGCCTAGGTCTCCGTTGCTCGCAGCCATGGCCAGGGACTTCTGTAGGATCTTGTTCTTCTCCTCGTCCGACGTCTTCTCGTCTCCGGCAATGGCGTCGGCGTCCACGAGGCCGTCGCCGCCATGATGCTGGGCTTGGGCGGCCAGCATCTCCATCAGTCGGGTATCGCTGTCGGCGATGCCCTTGGTGACATCTTGATCGTAGTTTGGGTCGTCGAGGGTCAGCTCGCTGAACTGCAGGGGCTTTGCCAGCATGGGGCTGGTCAAGAACTGCGATTGTCCTGATAAGGCGTCGGTTAGCAATGCGACTCTCAGGGGTGCAGCTACCAGTCAAGCAGCTAAGCCCACGAACCTTGCCAGCCGTCGTAGAACTCGGTCTCGCGGACCAGCTCGGTGGTAACATGTCTGCGATCGTCTAGCGACTTGGGCAGGTCGGATGGCAGCTCTCTGGGCTTCTTGGGTTGTTCGTCGCCGAACCCCCCACCATCAGGATCCCCGAAATCCATTGTGAGAGCAGGGTGTCGCCCGCATAGGAGGGATATTCATCAGTCGGCCGAGTGGAGCTTTCAGTCCTGCGCCATATTCTCAACTTGTTGGCACAATCAGGTTAATGTTGTAGCTCGAATGTTGGCTCCGTGGCTGCTCGTTTGGTCGGTCGTGGTGGCGGTCGTCGGGCGTTGCGAGCCAAGGACTCATCAGCGTAATCCGTAGTCGACAGATTGATAGTAACTGCAGGAGGGTTACCGGTTACCAGTTGAGCAAGGATTAACTCAGGTAGCCCTGGTAGGCGGGCTGGCGGGCAGTGGCCTCACTATGCCCACTGGTCTGTGCGCCGCTGCGATCATGCTCGTTGGCTGGGTCTGTAGGTTAGTTTGGCATTTGACACATAAATCACCAATGAATGGGTCAGGTCCAAACATAGGGCGTTGTTTATGCGTGAAGATGATGTGTCCACTCCGTTTTGTAGAGTTATGTTCCTGAAGTCTATATTCAAGATCCCTAGGTAGCTACTTTGGCGTCTTCCTGGTCGGCTAGAACAGTTAAGATGCCGAACTTGCCCATGACCACCTCAACTCCTACGGATCTCTTAGCGAGGACCCGGAGGCTTTTCACTCCACCAAGTCCACTGCCGTCTGCTTCTCTGTGTCATGATTGGGTTTGTGGAGCAAGTTCGTAGCTAGCCGTCCTCACACTCCCTGCCTCGCAACTTGATGGCCATCTACAACTTCCTCTTTTGACCATCATAACTCACAAAGCCCTCTTCGCCAGCACGCGCAGGCGCTTCACGCCACCATCAGGAATCTGCATATCAAGAGTCAGTAATCTTCTACTTAGGCCCGCTTACAGGGTACATAGCTCCTGGGACACTCTCTAGAGCCATGTCTCAAGAGCTACATGCTTGCAAGGAAGGATAGAAATGGCTCCTGGCTGTACTTACGATGGTAAGCTTGACGTGGGTGAATGGTCTGTCCTTGACTGAGCAGGCAAATGTATGCTCCTTGTCTGGACCACACTTGCTTGGCTCCACCACTTCAGTCCATCCTGCTGCATCTGCCCCGGGTTCACCGTTACCCTGCCATTCGATGGCATCCAGCTTGGCTTTTTGAGGGAAGTTGCCTCTGAAGTAAGCCGTATCGACAATGAAGCTTTGGATGAGGGCGGGTGCTCCCAGCCGAATGATGGCCCAATCTACATGGCCCTTAGTCCTCGACCGTGCCGTCTCCCAGCCGTCTCCCATGTCTTTGCCGCGTCCAGGAAGAATCAGATTGTCCTTGGTGCCAAAGTGCTGGTCGCTACAGGCCACGGCCACAGCACCGTTCTGAGCTGCGCCCAGGTCGAAAATGGCCTCGACGTCTTCTGGGAAGACAGGAACCGCATGGCCGAACAGTCGGAAGCGAGCAATTCCGCCATCGGGGTACATGTTAAGTCTGACGTGGGTGTACTGCTTTGAAGTCGGCTTCTGCAGCTTCCACCCAAACCTTTGCGATGGACCACATTCTCTAATGTCGAGAAGCGACTCCCACTTTCCTTTGCCGCCCTTCCACGACAGGACCTCATCGTCGTCCTGGCTGAAGCAACCCTCAACTGAAATCGCCGGGGCGTGGTTCCCAGAGAAGAAGGCCGTGTCCACCTCGAAGCCTTCTATGGTTCCCGACGCAACCCCAAGACGAAGGACAACCCAATCGAAAGGCTCCGAATTGTGCCGTCTCGTCTCCCACCCGTCGTACCAAGCTCCTGTGTAAACCATCTTCCCGGGCTGCCGGATAGGGGCAGTTGGGGTGATGAGATTCAGAGCATCTGCGAACCACTCATCCGAAAAACCAAGCACTTTACCGCCCAGCGTCCCAGACACCAGATCTTTGGGTGTTTAATTAGATACTTAAGAATTCAAGGAAGTAGGCGTTGCTGCTGTCCACTCACCAATGCAGCTGGAACGAAACGTCTTGTCGATCTCGTCCGCGGCAACGGATGACGCCTGAACCGGCTCAAGTTTGTACTCAATATCTCCAATCATCTTGACTAACCTCGGAGCTGATAAACAATATAATCAATGGTAAACTATGCCAATGCCGTGTCTTCAGCGGTCTTTCAGCAATACTAGTCACAACACAGCGATGAGAAGGTCGTACGAGATATGGATTTCACTGGACTGAGTGTCTGTTGAAACATACTTTGCCTACTTATTCACCCCGCCATAAATGTCGCGGCGGGGCTCGTGGGCCGTCCGCGAACGGCGCCGACCCAGAATTATTATCGGCCGGAGCCGAGCTACGAAGAGGCTAGCCGAAACCTCTAATGTTCCCGTCAGGCTCTCCTTGCCAAAATGCCAAAGATCTATGTATACATCCGAGGAAGGTGACAGAGTCGTGGGAGGAACCACAGCTGGTACCAGACCAGGGCCTTACTATATCTGTCCGGCTTCAACGAGGGAATGGCCCCGATGGCGAGTATAGCGAGCGAGTCGACTAGTTATATTTTGGTAGGCCGGCTTCCTTTGGATGTGTCTAACGAAAATCGGCGTTACGTGGGTCTCTCCCTTCAATAATATCTCAGTTAGAGTTGTACAGAAACAGCCATCGCACAGGCATTATTAACGCCACCGAATTTTACTCCCTTATCTGCGCATTGAACACCATATGCCGAATCACGTAAGCCACAGTCAAGCAGTGAGAGAGTGAAACGTCCAATTCTGGCAGTACCAATCGCTCGCCTACCACGGGGAAACCAGGTGGTCGGGGTGTCGGGGGCTGATGAATCGCGGCACTCCGATTCGTCAAAGCTCTTGGACTCACCCCCCACCACAGCTTGGATCCTGGACGGGTGCATGACGGAGCGTTCATCATCGATGGCGCCTTCACGGTTGCCTCGAGGTAGGACAGTTCAAGTCATCATGAAACAGTGACGGGAAATTCCTGATCACTTCACCGTGTACCAACTGCCGCACAACATTAGATCCCCAAAGACCCGTCTTATATCCAAGACCGCCTCCACATTCTTTCAACGCAGTCTCCCAGGTCATTGGGAAAGCATCAGGCTTACGATCACTCAAAATGGCGAGCGCAACGGGCATCCCCAACGACCCCGTCGACCGTGAGACTACGGGAACAGACGAACTGGAGCCCCTTCTTGGTCGCCCAGGGGACGCGTCGCAAAAGGACAGAGAACCAATCCTGAAGAATCTAATTCTCGGTAGGAGCCTTTCTTTCTCTCAATATCATCACCCATTTCCTTGACATACAGGCTGACTGCGGCCTCCGTCCTCCGACCGAGAGCCACGGGCCTGAATTCCCCACACACCGAGTCTTCCGTGTCCTTTTCATTCTTTTTGTGTCAGCTTCTCAGCAACCCAAGCGAGTTGCGTGTCCTCTTCACCTCACCCCAAGAAAAGGGCATACCCAGCGCTCGTGAACCATGCCGAAGCTCATCTACTCCTCAGGGACCGGCATCATCGCCGAGGGCGCCGCCCTCCTCCTCGTCGCCTCGACATGGGCCGCCGTGTTCCTCCACCCGCTGATCGTCCCGTTCTCGATCCACCCTCTCGCGCAGTCCCTCGCCGTGCTGGTGCTGGTGCAGTCGATCCTGATCCTGCAGCCGACGCACACGGGCCAGCAGAAGCAGGTCGGCCAGAAGATCCACGCCGGCCTCAACCTCCTCGCCTTCGCCCTCTTCCTCACCGGCTTCGTCAGCATCGAGTACAATAAGTTTGCCAGCGGCGGCGCGCACTTCAAGTCGGTCCACGCGTACCTGGGCGTCATCGTGTCCATATGGCTGCTACTTCAATACCTCATCGGGTTCACCATGTTCGCGACACCGAAGCTATACGGTGGTGAGGCTAAGGCGAAGAAGATCTGGAAGTATCATCGTACCAGCGGCTACGTCCTCTTCCTCTTCCTGCAAGCCACGGTTATCAGTGCGACCAAGACGGACTACAATGTCGGCGTTCTCGGACTGAAGCTGTGGGCCTTCATCCTCATCAGCGTGCTGTTGATTGTTGGTATCTACCCGAGAATCAAGAAGCAGAAGCTGGGTTTGTAAGGGAGGAGGAGAGTTTTGGTCACATGATGAGCAGCCAGAGTCCGGCTGTAGACTTCGCTTTGTGGCATTGCATACACCAGCTGAAGATGGACAAAGCAAGGAGCACTCAGTGGCATTTCTACTGCGAGAATACTAGGTCTAGTATTACGGCTTATGCGATTGAGTAAGAATAACTGACCTCAAGATCGTCTCAGGAAAGATACCGGGTGGCACACGAAAGTAACGTAGCTTGATCGTGGTATGCATGTTGTCTGTCTGTCTCTACTGGATGGGAAAAATTAGAGTCAAGATTTACTACGTATGCAATTTCTCATAATCCTCTGTCAAAATGACCTCTCTCTATTACATAGCACGCCTTTCCCATCTTACGCCCTTAGCAACCATCGTTTCCTTATCACAAAAAGACTGCCTGAATCACGAACATTTCATGGTGCACTTTCAATGTGCTTTTACCTAAAATTCATTCCCCGATGAAGCAGAAATTGCACACAGAACAGACGAAAATAAACAAAAAACGGCAAATGTACTGCACAGTCATTGAACTGCCAGGGGTAACTCATAGTTTGACAATACCATTGGTGCTAGAAGCCAATATGCCAGTCGTGAGCCCGCACGCAGTTCTGTATATATGTCAACTAGCCACACGGCTCATCGAGGCCGGCGCAAACCCACATTCTAGGGATGGTGTCTTATGGGAAGGAATCGCTTCTCTCTTTCTGGTCTATCCAAAAGACTGGACAGATCTCCTCGATTTAATTCGGAGCAAGTAATGGATAACTGCCAAATCCTACATGGAGTGGGTACGGAATGTAGACGTTAGTCACGGCACTGCACCTACCATCGACGAATGGGTGTTGAACAGTATTGGCAGCCGAGTCGTCCACAGAGATGACTTGAACAGAATCCTACATGCTCGTTTTGGAGATCGGGGATTTCGGATTATCGTAGACTTTGATTGTTATACAGTGGAAATACCTATGTTGATGGTCGATATGGAAGAGCTATCAGCCATCACGACGGCGGGGGTCTGTTAAAGATGACAACCATGGAGACCGATCTTCTATATAGAATCTCCTCGCCTACAATATCAAAGAGATGCTGCTTACACCGTAAATGTTAATTGTTATCACGAAGAAACTGTTCGTAGGCCGTCCCAGTTGCGCTAGTAGCTTCCCGCCGGGTTTGCGCGCTTTGGAAAGCTACAATCGCGCTGTCCTCAGGACTCCATGAAACTTGAAAAGAGAAATATACATATCGTGGTAAATACCAAGTTAAGTCGTTCAAATCCCACGAAATTCGCAAGTGACGGCACCCAGGCAGATTACCGGACGTGTCGAGGATGGTGTTGCTATCCACTAGAGAATCTTCAAGTTCACGCTGGGGAAACCTCCTCTTGGGCAAATAGGCGCTTGACTAAGCGAGGAAGATGCCGGAGTCAGAGTCAGAGTCAGAGTGTTTTATCCATATTGTCAGTATCTCCGCCGTATTTTACCGCTTGTTCTCTCATGATCTTGGCCATGACAGCATGCTGGAAGAGGTCTGTCCGTGTCGGCGAGCACGAGCAGGTTGCATAACATTATTCCTGCTAACTTATGCAGTCCAGCCCAGCCAAAGCAGGTGGTACTCAATTATGCACAGTTATCGCCTATGCATAAACTGGTGTGCTCAGCCCGGCGCCACAGATCCACCCAGGATTCAGCGTGACCAAGGCCTGCCAGGCAGCCACATCCTATCCGTCCAATTCGGACACGTTGGTTGCGTCTGGCCATAACAAAAGCCGGTTTGTCGCGGTCTTGGCAATCGCGATCGTGGCACAATCCATCCGCTCCTGTGGCTGCGCTGGACTGCCCACTCGCTTAACAATTTTACGATGCCGACTGGAGCTGCAGCCTAGCAGCCTATTCCTTGGGGGGGCGCTAAACCAAAGCAGCCCAGGAGACTCGATCGAGTGTGTGCCGGAACCTGGCAAGTCTGACAGCAGAGGTAACGTGATCTGGCGCTCAAGTCGCGGCCGGCGCCCCACAAAGGCCGCACAAAGGGCGTGGCTGCTCTTTTTAACAGGGTGTTTGCCCCCCCGCCGCCCCCGTCCTTGTCGCGTCTCAGCCTACTCAACCTACCCTCAAACCCTCTCCCACCGCCTCCGTGTCTTGACCTGTCCTGCCTGTTCTTCTTTTGCCGCCCCGTCGTCCTGCGTCTCAGCATCGTCGCGAAAATATATCATTTTCACCACGCGCCGTCTTGCGACTCGGAGAACACCCGACTTTGTCGAGGATCCGGCATCGAGAGTCATTCTATCGCATGCGGGCTGGTGACGTCGAGCACCCCTGGCATTGCTACGCTACGTACCTGCACCCAAACTCAACCTTGCGCTATTGACCCGGGCGCGTCACCGCATTCCCCAATGCCCGATCCCAGGGCGCTCTTTTACCAGTGAGTCGCTTTGCTTTTTCTGCGCGACACCTCGTCTTCTCCAGTTTTATTGCGTCTGCTTCCCAACACCCTTGCTGACCCTCTTGTCTTTCACAGTCGCAAGCAACACGCGCGCGCCCATGACTACCTGGTCCAGCACAACGCTGCCATGTCCACCGCCACAATGACCCTAACGGCGTCCGACGAGGATGGGAAGAAGAAGCACACCAAGAAGCCCTTGCAGCGCAGAGACTGCATCGTGCCCGAGCGAGGCTCGTTATGGGATACTATGCGCGACCACCAAGGCACTTCGCTGTTTGTCTTGCCCATCTGCTGGACCGACCTGCACACGCGACTGCTGGGATGCCGCTTCGTCCCGCGCCCAACCCCCGCTACTTCGACACAACCTCCAACATCGTCGCCCAGGAGATCGCCGCCGCGCGCTTCTTCGACAGTTGTAGGCATCGGACGGGACCTCGAGACGCTGCTGGCAGACCAGACCCCGCGTAACGTCGTGACCAAGACCCGGGCGCTGCGGAATATCGTCTCAACACTGTTCCCCACACACATGTGCAAGCCCAAGTCCAACGCCGAGTTGAGCATCAGGTTTGGAAGTCGCGTATACGCAAAGGCGACACGCGCTCAGGTAATATGGAAGCACCCCGATGCTTCCATGTCCTTTGACTCTGCAACCACCTGGACCTCGAGCCGAACACCAAGCCAGCTCCTGGAATCCATGAACGTAAGAGTCGCGAGCGACGCGCCCGTGCTGGCCTATGTCAGCCGCAGCAATCTCAACCACATCAGACACAACTGCTTCAGGGTAGTCCCAGGTCCCCGAATGAGCTACAACGGCCCTGTCCATCGTCTACAGACTCTGCGATCCAAGAATCTGATCCCGAGCAATCTCGACGAAGATCCTCACTTTGTCGCCACCATCATCGCCCTCGCGCAGCAGATGGTTTACGCTGATGGCCTCAAGGGCAAGACCATTGCCCCCCGAGATGTGACCGTCCGCCTCTTCACGACATCGGAAGACGACAAGTCTTTCATCATCTATACTGCAACTGTCCCAGCTGCGTTTCTCATGATGTTCCACGAGCCGGAGAAGGCACCAAAGGGTGATCCCGCACTCAATATTGAGTATACCCACGTCCCAGTTTGGCCGGTTCTGGGTCTCAAGGAACGACTCGGAGAGGTGCTCGGCAAGGAGGTCGTGGGCGACTTTGACCCGCTCAACATTGAGACTTTCCCGGATGAGGAAGAGGAAATCATGAGCGTGGCCGCCATCACGTCGCCAAAGCGCCGGCGAGAGGTTCTCTCAGAGGTTCTTAACGTGAGCTTCTCCGAGGACCGGGAGCCAAATACCTCGGACGGGATCAACATCATGGGCAAGAGAAGATGTCTTGAAGAAGGTAGGGTTGGAGTCGTCCGGTAGCAACGAGATTGAGGGTTGAGCGGGTTACTGAAGCGGTGATAGGTGTGGCGGTAGTGGAAGTGCACTCCAACGCTGGGCAGTGCCCAGAGACGTTGCAACAAAGAGGCTCGGCCAAATGGCGTCAGTTTGCGACAAGAGCCTCGATCGAGGACGATCAGGAAAACCGAGGCAACGAAAACTAATATGGTTGGGTCTGGTATTTGCAAGTTCTGAGCAGCATGGGATTCGAAGCTGGTGTTCAAAGAACGGGTCGACAGCAATCCTCTTTTTTCGGGGGGCCACGGTCATGGCTTGGCATGGAATGATGGTTTGAAGAAATGGTTTTACAATTCGGCGGCAGGCGTTGATGCATGATACTGCATACGGAGTACGCAAAGACGGTTGCTTCATTGGCATAAAGGACGGACGATGCTTTGATGATAAAGAATGATTTTGCTTGGGATGGGACAAGAAACTTCTTGATACGATGACGATGACGCAACGAGCGGGTTTCCCCCGTCTCTAGAGGCCACAGATACCCCTGAGTTCTGCCAATTGGCTATATTGGCGACGATTACTTCTTTCCGGCCCGCAGGAGCCGAATAAACATGTTGTCTGGCATAAATATATAAATGTTTCATTCGCAGCCACACTTTGAAGGTCAATTGTGATGACTTGAGATTTTGCAGTGTATTAGATTCTGTTCAAAGTCGAATAAAGGTCTGACGTCCGAACTACATGGATCTTGTATTCCCTATTTCCAGCACTGCAGCGAGATTGTGTCCTCAAAAAGTGCAATTAATAATTAGCTTCACAGCTCTTACACTCTGGATAGGTAACGTGGCAATGCTATTCACAGAACTATCTAAACGACTATGAAACCAAGGCAAATTGAGGGATATCACTCTGAACGCCCGTTTGCCCTTCGTCGTGATTGAAACAACAGCGGAAAGGCAAAGCCCTTGAACGCCAGTGGATGCAGGCTAACACAGGGCCTCTTTCTGAAGAGAAGTATAGAAAAAGAAAAGAAGAAAGAAAAACATGGCGGTGAGAGTACACGTAATACAGACAAAAGAAAAGTGCAGGACTATGAGTCTACCCTCCTGAGCATCCTGCCTATCATGGGGTTGCTGTCATGTCGTCTTTCTATAGATGGGGTTGGTGGGCTCGCCAGTCAAGCCATCAAGCCCCTTTCAGTTCTCGCGCTTCTTGCCGTTGACCTGGGCGACGTTCTTGTCGACGCCGTGGCCCAGCTCGCCGGCGAGGCGGCCGAACTGCCACTCGGGCAGCGTGATGCCCGTCTGCTCGTTGATGGTCGTCATGAGCGGCGGCAGCATCTGGTAGACGTTGCGCATGGTGGCCGCGCTGTCCTGGCTACCGCCCTCGCCGCCGGCGCCGGCCGCGCCCGTGTTCCAGACGCTGATCTTGGGGTTCAGGCCGCGGATGGCCTCGGCGTTGGCCTTGGCCAGCTCGACGTACGTGCCGCGCTCGATCATCATGTACTGCAGCAGGCCGGCGGGCCCGCCGAACGCCTGGCCCAGCCGGCCGTACGCCTCGGCCATGGCCGCCATACCCTCGGCCTCCTTGAGCTTCTCCTGCAGCCGCGCCTCGGCGTTCTTGATGGCCGCCTGGCTGTACGCCTCGGCGTCGACCTTGGTCTTGTAGGCCGCCGCGTCGGTGCTCTTGGTCGTCTTCTCGTAGTTGGCCGTCGCGTCGGCCGTGATCTCGTACGCCTTGGCGTCGGCGGCCTGCTGCTGCGACTCGCGCTTGATCTGGGCCTTGACGAGGTCCGTGGCGCGCAGGCGCTCGAGCTCGGCGGCGGCGCGCTTCACCTCGACCGCCTTCTTGAGGTCCTCGTCCTGGGCCTGGGTGGAGCGCGCGGCCTCGATGCGCGCCAGCTCCACGTCACGGTTCAAGGCCGTCTCCTGGGTCTTGAGTGCGGCTTCTGCGCGGGCGCGCTCGGCGTCGCGCTCCGTCTTCTTGACGGCTGTGTCGGCGTTGATCTTGGCGATCTCCTGCTCTTGTTTACCGTGGCGCTCCGCCTCTCCGACGGTACCCTTGAGCCGGGCGTCGGCGACATCGATACGAGCCTGGTTGGTGGCGCCTTCGTGGGCCTTCTGAGAGAGCGACTGGAAGTATACCGAGCCCTCAGCATCCTTGAGTTCCTTGACGTTGGCATTGTAGATCTTGAGTCCGAATTGGTCAAGCTCGCCCTGGATATTTCGGAAGATGCGGCGCTTGAACTCTTCTCTCTCGGTGAAGATCTCCTCCATGGTCATGCTGGAGACCAGCACTCGCGTTTCACCTTCGATGATACCCTTGACAATCTGTTCGAGGCCATGCTTGGAGATCTTGGAGTTGTCATTCTCGGCGAGCAGCATGGCAAACTTCATCAAGGCGTCGCCGCGGTCCTCGTCATTGACGTGGTCCGCCTGGCTGCTAGAACCAGCATGTGCAGCTTGTTTAGCCCCCTTTGCATTGGCGCCGCGGGCGTTGACATCTGGACCAATAGTGAAGACGACGGGCAGAAGGAACTGGAGCTTCTCCTTTGTCATGGCCTGCAGGTTCATAGCATAGTCATGGGGTTGTACACTGGGATCTATTCAGCACTGCATCTCGTTATGGGGAAGTACTTAGGGCCTCGACTCACCTAAAGCGGCTACATCTCTGGAATGGCCATACCCAGGCTGTCTTTGTGATATGGACATTTTTTATGCCCATACCAGTGATGGCCAGGTACTCATCGGGGGCAGCGATTCTGTACGACATTTTGACGGTGTTGAGTAGCTTTCAGTTCCAAGTGAGGGTTCTGGCGGTGATGTCGATGAAGCTCTGACGTCTGGACAGCAGGGGTTTGATTATGACAAAGGAGGAGGATGTTGGGTGAGACAAGGGGAGTGGCGTTTATATAGATGTATATGTCAAACAACGTTTGACACACCTCGCTTGTATCGCCGCAAGGTCTGTTGTCTACCGCAGCCTGGAAGTCTTTGCAACAGAAATTGGGTGGTCCTGATGGGGTATGAGCGAGTTTGTGAAGAGAATGGCTTCCGGAGGGGCCGTCGAAGTATGCCCAAGCTTATGGTCGATGGCTTGTCAATACAAGCAAGGCTGAGAATATCTGCAGGCTGTTCCTCTTGAAGTAGGAGTCGAGGTGGATTGGCAAATAGAATAATTCAAGACCTACAAGCAGGGCAAGGCCGAACTTCCTGCCGGTCTTATCTTTTTTTGCGTCCTGAGGATCGGTGCCCAATGCGGCACCGGCGACCCCTCGCGCTGTGTGCAACATTCCTCGCGTAGCGAATCATGCTGGCGGTGTAGGCTTCCCCCTCAGCCTTGCTGCTGCTATGCCGATGAAGCTCTGGCAAACGGAACTGTATGTGTGCCTTGTGTGGCTTGGAGGCATCACGAGACAGCCTAAGCAACTGCGGCGGACTTTAGGCCCTGCAGAAGCGCATCCCTGTAACCCACCTTACCCACTCAGTTGACTTCTAGCGTGCTTCGATGGCTTCCAAGCGACGATAATCCAGGGTACTAACTATGTAAGTTAGTGAGTGGGCACCAATTAGCTCAGGGCATCTGGACACCCTCTGTCCGGGGACGAGCATGGCATGAATTAACTGCTGCGGAACCAGCTTTGGATGCATTCGTCCATAAACTGATAGCTTATACGCCGTCAGTGATGCAGAAGCTTGAGCGAATTCCATGCAAGCATGTACATTTCTTGATTGTTTTCCCTCCACGTGTCTGTCGTGAAGGAAGCTGCTTGGATAAGTCATCCGACCCACCTGGACTAGCTGGTATACAACACCGAGCTGCTGCCAGTCTAGCAGCTCACGCCAACTCCTTGACTCTAATCAAAGCTCAGGTAATAAAGTGTCGACCGTTTTCAGTCACCGACGCATCAATAGAAGTGCAAATGTGAGGAGTCGACTTGGCAGACACTCTTGCTTTGCTCGGACCCGCCCCTGCACCTGCAGAGCTTTGCCACTGCACCCTCAGTGGCCTGATTCGAGCATCGTCTCAGACGCGCATCCTTCTCAGGGCTCAGGAGTGCGCTTCAAACCCCGTGATCGGGCCCTCCCATGCCGAAAAGTGGTCAGAACCAGATCTCTGGCGCAATTTGCAGTCAAGCATAAGCATCCGCGCCGAGGTTTTGCAGCCCTACGCCTGCCTAGTTAGGATTCTCAAGAGTCATATCGGTCCCAGCTCCCCACCTGGCAGACCTCAGCCGCAGACTACCAAGCTCTTGACAGCTTGGCCTCCTGTGCCGTGCAAGCCGTGATCGTCTCGTCTACCGTGGACGACCTTCGGCGGACACATTCCTGGGCCCATCGCCGCGCTCCGAGCGGTTCCACCGTCGGTGTCGGCTTACGGCACGGTCAAACGCTAGCGGCCATATGAGCAGGTACACAGCCATCGCACCGACCACCACAACGTGCACTTTCGCATCCCCTTCAAGCCTTGGAGTCAAGCCACTCGCTGCTTATTCCTTGCCACATCTGGAGTTTAAGCACGGCTAATTTGCACCAAGGCGACTATTACCTACTAGGTGGCGTGGGCTGAATGAAAGGCAGATTTTCCAGGGGACGACATCATCTGACTTACACGGGATTCATGGTCGACAGGGTTGGCGTCTTGTTCTAGTTGACAGCGTCAGGATAGACTCGAGTAGAGGAGTGTGGAAAACGTGTTTTGGGAGAACCTTATCTTCAAGAACTTCTGTTTGTGATCGACTTCATTCTCGGGGACACTCCCCGCCATCGCCAGCTTAGCTGCGCTCTGGAAGACATAACAAACCCTCAAGTTTGAAGAGACGACCGCCAAAGAACGCTATTCCGCAGGAAATCCACTTGATAACAACCCAGGAATATTACGGGTTCGTTCACATTGATATTGGCTCCGAAGGGCCTTGATTGATAGCGTACGCCATGGATACCAAGAACGGTTTGGAAATACCAGACGATGCGGCACCACCTCCATACTCGATGAACCCACCCCCGCGGCAAAGTTCATCCTCGCCCTTGCAATTCAACCCTCAGTCTCTCACTTCTCACCTGCACTCACACCTTTTGTCTATCCCTGACCGCATAAGGCAAACTCAACAAGCACACAATGCCCAGCAAATCGAGACCGACATATGGATCCTGGACCACTTATCCCCTGTTATCGAGTCGTTCTTAGCAGATTTGGGCGCACGACGGACGGCTCCACCTTTAGCAACACTTACCCTTATTCCAAACGGTGCGGTGCCTCCAGATGCTGTGCTCAGTGGGATTGATGACATGCTCCGACGGAACGAGATCGGGCGAGTATTCAGGGTCGATTTTCGACACATTGGAGGCGAGAAAGACTCTGGAAATAAATATGGAGACAGCAAATCTTCCAGCAGAACGGAATCGAATGTGAACCAAGAGTTTACTGACTGGGGCCGGTGGGAGGAGCCTGGCTCATCATCATCCGCGAACTTGGAACTTCTTTGGTGGAACGACGAAGACCAAGCCCGAAGATTAGCATCCTTTCTTCAGCCACAGACCAGGCCCAAGATCAAGCCCAATACCATAAGCCAGAGTGCAGTTCAGACTGTAGTTGAGCAGCGCATACCATCGGAGAAAAAGAAGAAAGGTTGGGGTTGGGGAAGGCGACGGAGTGACCAGATTCCGGCATCTGAGGCACAGACAACGATCTCCCTGCCGTCGGTATCATCATCTGAGCCGAGGGACGGGAGAGGGACTGTTGCTGGAGGTGACGTGGCAGGAGTCCCAGAAGACCAACAATTAGACAACGGAAAGCGGGCGGAGATGAGTGTTACAGCAGAAGAGGTGGCATTCCGTCGCGAGAACGACTTTGGCATCTGGGAGAGTATGAGTGGCTGGGCTGTTGTAGTTGCTATTAAAGTCTACTCATAGTGCAAGAGACTACATCTGATCTTGATTCATCTAATCGAATTTACTTAGGTCATATCAAGAGGTCCTGTAACAAGGGAGTTTGCTCAAGTAATCATTATTTCTACTGTATAGCGAGCGACTGTTATCTAATTTTTCCTATGAGTTTCAAATTTACCAGCCCACCACATCCAAGGCTAGGACCTATGTACTAAATATACCAGGGTAGGCGGCAGTTTACTCGTATATACGTGATCTCTCCTCTGGTTATTTATGTCAATCAATAGTCGTTTGGGAGCCAACGAGAAGAAGGACAAAACCGAGGCGATGTCCCACAAACATGGGTATTAACCACACCCAAATTGTCTCACTCCAGAAGAAAATAACCAAAACAAAAGAAAGCCGGTCAGATGCCTCAGTATACCCTATAGTTATTTATTTCCCACGTCGACAGTTTCGGGCTGGGATAGAAACGCATTATCCCGACTCGCTCGAACTTTGAAGAATCATCCTCTCGAGCCTTGAGTATCAAACACCATACACAAGTGTCATACAGAGGCCGGTAACCCCGATCTTCGTAAGCCAACTGAATCAATGTGAGCTTCGGCTGGTTCAGCTGACACCCGTGGTGGCAATCTAGATCAGCCTTAGCAGACATATCATCTGATGTGAACAATGTCCAATATTGGGAGATAGTATTGGATATGTCGAAGCAAATCGATCCGATTTTGCATTGGCAAATCTCTGCACATCTGCCTGATATATCCATGAAGCACCCATTTTTGACACGCCCGTAGACATCATCGGTGAGGAGGTCGAGGTGGACCTTAAGTATCTGGAGTTCAGGTATCGGCATAAGCTTTTCAAAAGCCTCATCGGGATACAAACGTAGGTCCAGCGATGTGTTGGTCTGCGACTTTAAAGACGCCCAACTCCATGTTGGGGCCACGTAAACTTTCGGTCGACACAAACCCGGGCCGTGTATTTTCCAGAGCAGATGCAAGCATGAGCGGTCGAGCCAAAGCCCAGCCGAATATGATTGTCCTTCAACACCTTTGAATTCTCGTGCCAATGCGGATAATGCGGGCAATCGATCTTTGTCGTATGTGATAGATCGCCGAGCCAAGTTACGAATGATTATGTGCCACTTCAGGTTGAGATTCAGTTCGCAGACTGTGGATGGATCGGTATATGATCGGAACTCTTCGGAGTCTTGACGTGGCTCATCACTTTGACACTCTGCCGCGAAAATAGTGCGGCATCGCCACATCATCTGGTGGGACAAGCATCTCAAGATTCTCCGGGGCAATAAGGTCTCTTGCATAGCCCACGCGCGATGAAAAAGATGAGATTCAGCATCCTTCTCATTATCCCAGGTTCCGTAAAGGTAGACACGGCCGTGGGCCTGGCCACCCGTAGCTGTTGCCTTGAAATACCACGGTGGCGGCCTAACTGCTTCACGGGTCGGCTGTGAACTAGCAAATATACCCGCATGGCTATCGATAGCAGAGTCGGCCGAGATAGTGAGTGTTGAGTTCTTGTATACGTGATGCATGGTAGCTGACTCCGATAACCAGTCAGCTTCAGAGTCTTGAATTATGCAGAGTGAATCAATCCACAGATATGGCACATTCAGCTTTCTTGCAATTATGACCGCATCTCGAAAGCTTGGTGGCAGGTCTGCCAGGGCTAATGACGTCTTATGCTTTTCCAAATTTTGTGAGGTTGTCCTCAATGGGAGGGCGCCAGTACCCCAGCAATGACTCAATGCAATCCATCGTCCTCTGCGTCCTTGTGTTTCCACAAGGCGAACGTATCTTGACTGCGAGCCGACATCTAACACTCGCGTAGGAAGCTTGAAATCTTGCCCGCGCGTGCATAAAGGGTGACCTGACATGCATTGTTCCATCCAGGTGCGAATCCGGGGGAATGGTGCGTCAATGGCGAGATCTTGTGAAGGAACTCGCAGCACGAAGTAAGGCGAAATGGGATCATCTTCAGTCATTAGATCTGGTCGTTTAGGTTAGATATAGCACGCACCTTCAGTAGTCCCAACACTGAAACAGCAAAGGAACTCTTCCAGGGAGGCTGTGCGAGCATACCACCAGACCATTCCAAATCTTGCAAAATGGAAATACACTGACGAGTAGCTTTCCTTAAACTGTTCATAATCTCTTTGAAGCCTGTGTCTGGCAATCACAGAGCATGATGTCCATACAGTTTGGCACAGCGGACAACCCTGTTGGACCGAGTCTAGGAAACTCGAGAAAGAACCATGGTGTACAACATGGTACCCCACGAGGCTGGCAATGAGATCCAAGTCGAGCACAATTCGACTACATGGCTGACACAGTTCCACAACTTTGGAAGGAGGCAGCACCCCGAGGTATACCAGTATCGACTTCTGAATCACCGAATCCAGTCATTCATGGTCACAGCCTGACGGGTGAAGGTTGTAGGTCATAGTTCTGCGATGAAGCAGGGTTGGGACATATCATCCGGGCGGTTACATAGAAAAACAGGTGGCTCAAGGCTGGAGAAGGTATGCACCCCATCGGGCCAATTATCTGCATTCTGGTGGCAGCAACAGCCTCCACAATTAGGTTCAAGCACACCTCCGTGTCTAGCTGACTGTTGTCGTCAAAGCTATGGTATACCTATTGCTTCCAGGACCAACATAGGCCGCTCGGTGTTTCTTCAAGATGAGGCATTCAATCAGACTTGACAATCTTTGATAATCGAACTCGTGGTTAAAAAAATATGTTATCTAGCGTACTTCAGGCAGACATTCGATTATCTCCCAGGTATTTTCATATCCACTGCGCCAAGGTCATTTTACAATCCCGCAAGTTGCTTGAATATACCCATGTGGTCTGACTTGACTTGTAGCGGCAGGCGTAATTAGCACGCCGCCCAGGTTCAGTGTGGACACTGCATGTTTACTCATCAGATATATGCAGGGCGAGCATCTGTTATGTCTTGACAATTCAGCTTGTTTTGATTCACTCATCTTGTTTGCAAGTCTCACAACACGCACGCGGCTGGCCATGCATTTGCGGGGGCATAGAGGGGCCAATGCTTGGCTATACAAATCGGGACTCACCTTGCTTATTTATACTTGGGGGAAAGCCGCGGTGTTATATTTTTTTTTTTAACCTGCGTCGACCAATGTCTCAGCCCGCGGCACTGAGGACCAAGCCTTCGTCGCCAAGGCCAGCCCGTGAGCGCAACGGCCGCGTCAATTTGGTCTCTTTCTGCGTGTCTCAGGGAGAGAAAGACCGCATTGCCCGGCAGCCAACAATCAACAAAAACAAACAAGCGCATCATCATATTTCGGCAGCATCAGCAGATGCATGTCTGCCGGCAGAGTGAACATCGTGTCCTAGACCTGCGCCCAGACAGTTTGAGGAGATTCGGGCGAGACGCCGTATCCGTCATCGCAACCGGAAGCGAGCGACAAACAAACAAACAAAATAGCAGAGGTACTCCCTGCGCATTATTACTGGTCTTATGGAAGCGTGGCTCGTTGATTATGGGATGGTCTCTCGGGGACGGGGCGACAGGCGGGTAAGGGGGGCGTTGAGAATAAGGGACCCGCTCCCTTTTTTGCCATGCTTTGTGCGCCTCAGCTGAGACGACAGCTGCAAGATCTGACACCCCGATTTGGGTCTCAGCCGCTTCGTTGGAAATTACCTTATCCCCATATTTTAAGCATGGGGCCACTGATACTTGGTGTGCCACGAAAAGTGCCCAGGTGGAATGAGGTTCCCGTTTTGGGCAACTCGGAGGCAACGCCACTGACTCACATGATGCAGGGCACGCTTGATATAAGTATGCGGGCATGAGAATGCAACTTGATCTATTGGATATCTAGGCCTGAGGCTGGCCGCCTCCCCCAAGAAAGCAGTGTCTTCACGCCAGATGCGCCATCGTGTGCTAGTGTCGAAATGTATGCCGAAATGAAAGCATGCAGGTCGCAATCGCTGTAAACATGTAAATTGGCAAGCTTTGCTTTGCCTCTGACCGTACCCTTGCGCCTTAGTGGAAACAAAAACTGGCAAATCTAACTGGATTATTTCGCGCTTGCTGACTATCCCAATACTCCTGAAACCCCGGGGCAATGCCAATGGATATCGCAAGAAGGGGCGATGATGCTGAACGTGACCCACGGGTAGCTGTCACTCATGACAAACCGTGTGTGATTGGGGTATTGTAGTATTGGCGATTGGTGTGGGAAAAAAAGTAGCCATGCCATCATTTGGGTCAACCATCCCGACTATTAAGTGGTTCCAGCTGTCTCTGTATCTCCTGGATGTTGTTGAGATGAGCGGAGGGTATTATGTAGATTGTGTCGGCCCGGTGATTGGCGGCGTTGATGCTTATACGGAATCGATGTTCATCTCCGTGTCGAGGTATTCTGCGTGGTACACGAGTCCCGACCAGACTCTCCAGTGGAGTATACCAAGGTGTGTCAGCCTCGAAGCCATGTCCTCGATTCCGCCCTCCTCCCGTGCCTCTCGTAAAGAGTTGTCTAGAGTATCACGCTCTGAGCTTCGTTCCCGGGGTCCGTCCCACGTGCGGCCAGGTCCATGAATACGACCACCGGTGGCCACCGAGAAGAGGTTAACACCAGTGAGAGACTTGAACTCCTTCACGCGTAGCTGTAACTCCGCTACCAACCGGCTGTGAAAGTGCTGCTCGACATCCTGGAACAGTGGCGAGTCGGGCTCATTGAGATGCTGGTCCAGCTCGTCTTCGAATTGCAAAAGAGCCTCCTGTGGTGCGTCTGTAAATCTGAAGATCTGCAGGGCTAAGGAGTCCTTCATTGCCTTCCACTTGTGACTGGGTCTGGGGGCGGAGGTGGACGTGTTGAGTAGAGCCACGAGAGAATTGTACAAGTTCCGAGACTTCGTTCTGGCGTCGACTTGATTCGACGTAGGGGCAGGTGGGAGAATCAGCGATGATCGCGGGGAGGAATTGGCCGATCCAGCTGACGAGAAGACAAGACTTGCCGGCCTTGAACG